ATACCCAATTCTCGCAACCGTTCCTTATATGTTTTAGCCTCCAGTCCCCTAATCATCTTTGTTGCTCTTCTCTGTACTCTTTCTAGAGTCTCAACATCTTTTTTACATCGTGGTGACCAAAACTGGATGCAGTATTCCAAGTGTGGCATTACCAAGGCATTGAAGAGTGGTATTAATACTTCACGTGATCTTGATTCTATCCCTCTGTTAATGCAGCCTAGCACTGTGTTGGACTTTTTGGCAGCTGCCGCACACTGCTGGCTCATATTTAAGTGATTGTCTACTAGGACTCCGAGGTCCCTCTCACAGTTACTACTATTGAGCATGGTGCCACCTATGCTGTACTTGTGCATTTGGTTTTTCTTGCCTAAATGTATAGAATGAGAATGAGAGAAAAAGAGAATGAGAGAGATAATGGAGAATGAAAGAGAGAGAATGAGAAAGAAGAGAGAGAAAGAGAGAGAGTAAGAGAAAGAGAGAAAAGAGAGAGAGAGAATGAATGAGAGAAAGAATGAGAGAGAGAGAATGGAGAATGAGAGAATGGAGAGAATGAGAGAGAGAGAAAGAGAATAAGAATGAGAGAAAAAGAAAGAATGAGAGAAAGAAAGAATGAGAGAGAGAGAGAATGGAGAATGAAAGAATGAGAGAATGAGAAAGAAGACAGAGAGAAAGAGAAAAGAGAGAGAGAAAGAGAAAGAGAATGAATGAGAGAAAGAGAATGAGAGAGAGAATGGAGAATGAGAATGGAGAGAGAATGAGAGAAAGAATAAGAATGAGAGAAAAAGAGAATGAGAGAGAGAATGAGAGAAAGAAAGAATGAGAGAGAGAGAGAATGGAGAATGAAAGAGAGAATGAGAGAGAATGAGAAAGAAGACAGAGAGAGAGAGAAAGAGAAAAGAGAGAGAGAGAGAGAGAGAGAGAGAGACCCATGGGAAAAACCAGGGGAAGCAACTCCAGCTGTCTCAAGCTGAGGGTGGACTAGAAGACCTCCAAGATCCCTTCCAACTCTTATTATTCTGCTCTACCGGTATATACTTAGATTGGGAGTATTGTTCCCAGAATTCTCAGCGTGCTGACTGGGTCCTGGAAGACGAGTCTCAACATTTTGGATTTGGAACTGCATTTCGTTCTCTATTTAATACTTTTCGATCTTGGCATTTTTAAGGTGGGTGGGCTTCAATTCCTAGAATTCCCCAGCCAACATGCTGGCTGGGGGATTCTGGGAGTTGAAGTCCACCCATCTTAAAACTGCCAAATGTGAAAAAACAACAACATTGCTATGACCAACACCAAGTGGGATGCCAGTGAAGTGAAAAACTCCCTTGCCACATTCCACTGAGAAATCTGTGGGATTTTTAAGCATGTTTTAAGTTGCAACAGCCAGATTATGTTCTCTGAGTGGGTTTAACTCGGGAAGGATCAGGGTGGAATTTGCTGCTTTGCATATGTTTGCTAATTCTGCCCTTTCCTGGCCTTACATGCAAAAAAAAAAAAAAAGGAGGTCTTTTCTGCTATTTCGGTAATTGCTGGATATTGGCATGGTTGATTAGATGATCCAGTTTGTACAGAGTTTGCATTATTTTAATCAACGATGTAGACCAGTGGCGCGCGACCTTTTGGGCAACAGGGACTGGTTCTAATTTTGGATGGGGCTTCGCTTGTTTGTGTGGCCCGGTTTCTGCCGTGGCCCGGTGGTGGTCCACGGGTTGGGGTTTGGGACCCCTGAGGTAGACCTTTGCTGTAGGGCTTGTGTAAAGGAAAGGTATTACTTGCTTTAAAAGAAAAGAAAAAAAAAAGGAACATTGTACCGCCATTTCAAATATACATCAACAGCTTAGTCAATGATGCAAACAGTGCCAGGCTATTTAAAAAAAAAAAAAAAGCAATCTTCAGGAGCATCTTAAAATAGGATTTTCTGCAAAGAGAGTTTGGAAATAAATTAAAACAAGCAGAGTCTTGATTAATTGGTTTTTAAATGTTTAAGGTTGCTTTACCTATTACACGTCCTCAATTCAACAGAAAGACTTTATTCAAACAGCACCTTAATCAGATTACCAAATTTATTCTCTAGGCCAGGGGTAGTCAACCTTGGCTCTTTTATGACTCATGGACTTCAACTCGCAAAATTCCTGAGCCAGCTAAGCTGGCTCAGAAATTCTGGGAATTGAAGTCCACAAATCATAAAAGAGCCAAGGTTGACTACCCTTGCTCTAGGTTCATACAGTATAAATTAAACTAGTTCATTGTATGAAGAACACACTCTGCAGTAAAGTATATTGTGTGAGCAACATAGCCGCGTAGCTTCCTTTGCCCCCGTTTTTGGTATATTCTATTTCGTTCCTATTTTGCTATTAGGGAAAATGTCCTTAAACAATATTAGAATTAGGGTTACAATCAATATATCATTAGTTATATGACTGTATGTTAAAAAGATCAAACGTATTCCAATATCTCAGGGGCTGCCATAAAGAAGAGGGAATTAAGCTATTTTCCAAAGCACCTGAAGGCAGGACAAGAAGCAACGGGTGGAAACTCATCAAGGAGAGAAGCAACCTAGAACTAAGGAGAAACTTCCTGACAGTGAGAACAATTAATCAGTGGAACAGCCTGCCTCCAGAAGCAGTAAATGCTCCAACACTGGAAGTTTTTAAGAGACTGGACAGCCATTTGTCCGAAATGGTGTAGGGTTTCCTGCCCGAGCAGGGGGTTGGACTAGATGACCTCCAAGGTCCCTTCCAACTTTACTTTACTACTACTATTACTAATTCTAAGTAGAACAAATTGAACAAATTTATACAGCAGCCAAACTCACATACAGCGACTCCAGGCAGCTTACAACATTACAAATCCACAACATAAAAACCACACTACCCCCACCATCCATGGCAGCAGGAACACAATCAGAACAGCCACCTGATCAGTTCCATCCCCATTTGGGGTCCCCAGGCCCACTGAAAAAAATCAGGCCTTTTAAGGCCTTGTGGAAAAGCAACAAAGTGGGGGCCAAAGGAAGGGAGTCACCCCAGAGAAGACCCTTCTCCTATAAGATATATTCCCCATAAGATATGATCAAGATATGACAGCCTTCTCTGCTATGACAAGAAGGAACGCTTCTTGTCAATTAAGACAACAAAAATAGCTAATACAATCCTGGGTTGTATAAACAGAGGCATAGAATCAAGATCACACAAAGTACTAGTACTGCTTTACAAAGCCCTAGTAAGACCACACCTGGAATACTGCAGCCAATTTTGGTCACCATATCACAAAAAAGATGTTGAGAGTTTGGAAAAAATTCAGAGAAAAGCAACCAAGATGATCCAAAGCCTGGAGATTAAAACATACGAAGAACGGCTGCGGGACTTGGGTTTGGCTAGTGTAAAGAAAAGAAGAAACAGGGGAGACATGATAGCAGTGTTCCAGCATCTGAGGGGCTGCCACAAGGCAGAGGGGGTCAGGTTGTTCACCAGAGCATCAGAGGGAAGGATGAGAAACAATGGTTGGAAACTGGTCAAGGAGAGAAACACCCTGGAATTGAGGAGAAACTTCCTGACAGTGAGGACAATCAACCAGTGGAACAGCTTGACACCAGAAATCGTGAGCGCTCCATCACTGGAAATTTTTAAGAAGAGACTAGACAATCACTGTCTGAGATGGTATATAAGTTCTCCTGCCTGAACAGGAGGCTGGACTAGAAGACCTCCAAGGTCCCTTCCAGCTCTATTCTATTCATTAGCAAGACAGCCAATTGGAATCCAGTAGCTCTGAGCACTGGAAAACCTATGAGCATAAGAACTACGGAACTATTTTTCCCTTTGGCACAAGGTGTCAAGCTTCAAAGAAATCTTATGCTGCTTCAGCCATTCCTGTTTCTTCGCTTGCCTACAGACCCAGGGGGGGAAGGGGGATGAATGGAATGTGCATCCCGAGTTGCCCAGCTTGAGAACCAAGATCATACGAGAATTGTTTGCTGAGAACTGAAGATTTTTCTCAGAATAATTGGGGAATGTGACCTACACTGTCAGCGGGAAGGGGAGTTTCTATACTTTTAATTTACTGTTCTGGCGCCAATTTAAGCAACGATGGTTTTCTATTCATCAGTGCCGATATGGTGTGCTCAATAAAGTTTTGCATCAGAGATTGGAATGTCTCAGTTGCCGAATCGTGGCAATCTGGCAGAAAACAGTGATGTCCACCTTGCTCAGGTACGATGTCACAATGTTCCTGTTACGTCTCGAATCTTCAGATGCTCTTTCCCGAAGTGGAGGACTTTGACACAAAAGAAACCCTTCAGATCCAGAAGATTCCAAGTCCCTTGGTCTTCCAAGAAGACTCAGCGCCAAATCTTGTTCATTCCAAACACTCTTCCAGGTTCCCAAATGTTCCCAAATTCACTATAGGTAGTCACTGATTTACAACCAAATTTGGGCCCAGAATTTACCTGGCTAAGCAAGACAGTTGTGTGAAGTGAGTCGTGCCCAATTTAATGGCATTGTTTTTGCCTTAGTTGTTAAGCGAATCACTCATTTTTAAGTGAATCATGCAGTTGTTAGGCAAATCGGGCTTCCCATCAGGAAGGTCGCAAATGGTGATCACATGATTCCAGGATGCTTCAACCATCATAAATACATGCTGGTTATCTAGCAGCTGAATTTTGATCTGGGGATGCTGCGACGGTCATAAATGCAAGGATTGGTTATAAGTCACTTCTCCAGTTGCATTGTAACTTTGAACAGTCGCTGGATGATGGTTGTAAGTCAGAGGTATGTTCACATCTGCCAGGCAGGTAACAACTGGCAGAGAATTTTGTTAAATGAAATTCTTGCTTTTAGCTGATTTTGTCCTTGGGACAAAATTCTGGCTGTCCCTTCTGCAGAAGCCCAAGACACTCAACCTAACCTCAAACTGAAGCTTCAGTGCATAGCAAACAAAAACCAAAAAACAGACCAACTTGTTCTCTGGGTGGAGCAAGGGAGCACCCAGGCGCATCGCCTGAAATCTGCTTAAAACAGGAAAAGTAAAAACAATGCACAACTAAAACAAGCAGTGACTGCAGCATAGATGTGGTGGACAATCTTCTCTGTGGGATAGTTTAACAGGATGGAAGTTGGTCAATGCCACCTGTGCTCTCTGCTTCTCCTGGGAATCCTTTCAGGTAAGATATTCTTAGCGGCTGGAATCTAGGGACCGGTAGCTGTGAAAACATGGGGAGATCCAGATCGGTAGCAAAGGTAAAGGATTTTCATGGAAAGCTGCTTGTTTTGTGTTTAACCTGTCTTTAAAGGTCAAGGAGCCATGAGGATGCTGCTACACAGGTGTAGAACTGGGCAATTCTATGTGCTAGCTTCAAAGATGAATCCCAGAGGTCCATTGGTTTTATAAATGGGAAAAGCTTGGGGCTGCCCTGATTCCTGATGGTGACATGGACAAGTCCCATGATATTGTTGGCAACATTTTCAGAAGTGGTTTGCCATTATTTTCTCGAGAAAGAGAGATTGGCTGAAAGTCACCCAGCCTAACTAAGAGAGGGTTAGAAATCCAGTTTCTATATTCCAGCGTTTTCACAACTACTCTCTCTTTATGGTAGACTAAAATATGAATCTTCTTCTTGAATCTGGAATAGGTAATTCCAAGGAGATTCAGGATGGACCAATTTTAACAGGCAGGGCTGGTATGGAATGAAAAAAAAAAAGTTGGAAGAAAAAAGGACTTTTCTTATAATTAACAGAATAACAGAGTCGGAAGAGATCTTGGAAGTCTCGTAGTCCAGGGGTAGGCAACCTTGGTTCTTTTATGACTTGTGGACTTCAGCTCCGGCTTAGGAATTCTGGGAGTTGAAGTCCATGAATCATAAAAGTGCCAAGGTTGCCTACCCCTGTCCTAGTCCAATACCGTGCTCAAGCAGGAGCCCCAATACCATTTCAGACAAATGGCTGTCCAGTCTCTTCTTAAAAGCCTGCAGTGATGGAGCACCTAGAACTTCTGGAAAAGTCATTCTACTGATTAATTGTTCACACTGTCAGGAAATTTCTCCTTAGATCTAGGTTGGTTCTCTTCTTGATTTGTTTCCATCCATGGCTTCTTGTCCTGCCTTCAAGGTCTTTTCTTTGCGGCAGCCCCCCAAATATTGGGACACTGCTATCATGTCACCCCTAGCCCTTCTTTTCACTAGACCAGGTATATCCAATTCCTGCAACCCTTTTTCATATGTTTTAACCTCCCATTCCCTAATCGTCTTTATTGCTTTTATTCTTCACTTTCCAAAGTCTTAACAAAGTTTTTTTATGATATGGTGACCAAAACTGAATGCAGTACTCTAAGTGTGTTCTTACTAAGGCTTTGTAAAGCACTACTAATACTTCACGTGATCTTGATTCTATCTCTTTTTTGGGGGGGCAATGATCTGTGATTAACTAATGCAAGACTCAATCTTTTGTGTCTCTAGTGCAGTGGTTCTCAACCTTTTTAATGCCGCGACCCCCAACCAGTCATAAGTCAAGGACTACTCAACTGGTCGTAAGTCGAGAACTACTCAACTGGTGCAGCACCGTTTGCAGAATGGGACTTTTGGCGGTCTCAGCAGGGCAGAGACAGCCTGGACAATTCCTATTGGCTTTTGAAAGCCAATAGAATTAGACTCTGTTCAAGAGAGTCTATTCTATTGGCTTTCAAAAGCCAACAGAATAGAAGGGAGTAGCACAGCTAAGGAAAAGGGGGGGAAAATGGCGGACTGCGTTGTTTGGCGACCCCCGTGAAATGGTCGTTCGACCCCAAATGGGGTCCCCACCCACAGGTTGAGAACCACTGCTCTAGTGTTTCTCAACTTTGTCAGTTTTTAGATGTATGGATTTCAACTCCCATAATTCCCCAGCCAGCCTATATAAAAATAAACCTTAGACAATAGGTGCCTGAACCCATATAAATGGATACAAAATTGTATCCTGAGTAGGTAATTAAAATTAATACAACATGATAAAATAGATACTGTAAAATATCTACTGGATATTTGGTTTAAAACAAATCCTACTGAACAGGGTGAAAACAAAACAGAGTTAACCTTGCAATCATTGTTGAGCCAGTTTTTGGATAGCTTTCTTGTTGTTGTTAATTGCGAAGTCGTGTCCGACCCATCGCGACCCCATGGACAATGTTCCTCCAGGTCTTCCTGTCCTCTACCATTTTCTGGAGTCCATTTAAGCTCACGCCTATAGCTTCAGGGACTCCATCCAGCCACCTCCTTCTCTGTCGTCCCATTCTTCTCTTGCCCTCCATCTTTCCCAGCATTAGGCCCTTCTCCAGTGAGTCCTTCCTTCTCATTAGGTGGCCAAAGTACTTGAGTTTCAACTTCAGGATCTGGCCTTCTAAAAAGCAGTCAGGGTTGATCTCCTCTAGGACTGACCGGTTTGATCGCCTTGCTGTCCAAGGGACTCGCAGGAGTCTTCTCCAGCACCATAGTTCAAAGGCCTCAATTCTTTGGCGCTCAGCCTTTCTTCTGGTCCAACTTTCACAGCCATACATTGCAACTGGAAAAACCATGGCCTTGACTATACGCACTTTTGTTGGCAGGGTGATGTCTCTGCTTTTTAGTATGCTGTCTAGGTTTGCCATAGCTTTCCTCCCCAAGAGCAAGCGTCTTTTAATTTCTTGGCTGAAGTCCCCATCTGAGGTGATCTGGGAGCCCAGAAAAATAAAATCTGTCACTACCTCCATTTCTTCCCCATCTATTTGCCAGGAATTGAGAGGGCCGGATGCCATGATTTTGGTTTTCTTAATGTTGAGTTTCAAGCCAACTTTTGCACTCTCCGTCTTCACCCACATCAAGAGGCTCTTTAGTTCCTCTTCACTTTCTGCCATTAGAGTGGTATCATCTGCATATCTTAGGTTGTTGATATTTCTCCCGGCAATCTTAATTCCAACTTTTGATTCATCTAGGCCTGCCTTTCTCATGATGTGCTCTGCATGTAAGTTAAATAGGCAGGGCGACAGTATACAGCCTTGCCGGACTTTCTTATGTCTTCAATAGTTATATTGCACAACTATTGCTTAGCTAGAGGCTTGAATAATGTCCAGAAATTAACCAGGAACATCAAGAAGACACATAATGAATTGTTATTTGCACATACTTAATTACAGTGCAATCAACAAATCAACAAATGAATTAGCCTTGTTCCTTGTCAAAATAAACCATAGTTTGCTCCAACCTCCCCATTTAACCCAATGCTAAGTCAAAAATAAACATATTGTGGCTTAATATGATGTGAACACTTTTTTTAAGACTTCGGAAAAGACAATTGATGTCTGTATTGATCCAAAGTATATATCTAATGAATACACCACTGGATTTAAGGGTGCTTAGAGTATCCTGAATAATTATGTATAATCTTTTAACACAACCTTCTGCATTTTGATTCAGTCATTCCATTGGGTTAATGAGACCCACTTCCAGGTATTTCCATAGTCCATAATCTCTTTTCTTAAGATTTTCTCTAAAGCAGTCTTCAATAACTTTAAGATGTGTGGACTTCAAATCCCAGAATACTCCAGCAAGCATTGCTGGCTAGGGAATTCTGGGAATTGAAATCTACACATAATGAAGTTGTTGAGGTTGAGAAACACTGCTCTAAAGCGATAGAGCCAGTTTAGTGTAGTGGATAAGGCGCTAGCCTAGAAACCAGGAGATGGTGAATTCTAGTTCCACCTTAGGCATGTAACTTGGCTGGATGACTTTAGGCCAATCTCCAGGAGACGGTGAGTTCTAGTCTTGCCTTAGACATGAAAGTTGATTGGGTAACTTTGGGTCGGTCCCTCTCTTTCAACTGAACCTACTTCACAGGGTGGGAAAAATAAGAAGAAGGAGGATTAGGTTATGTTGGCTGCCTTGTGTTACTTATAAAGTAATAAAGGCGGGATAGAAATCTAATTAATTAATTAATATTTGCTAAAGCCGTCAGTCCTCCAAGATAGGCCAAATCTGGAAAAGACACCGCATGAACCATTAGCACTCTACGGCCAGAGGGTATAATAAAAATCTTGAAAATCTGCAGAGATGTTTTCTCTCTCTCGTGTCTTATAGTATATTAAAGAAAATCAAGTCAGAACAATCTTGAGTTTCTCCCTCACCCTCTCCTATCTATCCAGGCAAAAGTGGGGTTTAGATAATGGTGGTTGAATTCCTTTTTCAAGGCCATCTCTGTACTTCTCCATAGCCATAATTTTTTAGATGTCTATGAAGATTCTCAGTCATCCAGGTCATGGTTGTCCCAAAGATGCATTTTCAAAAGGTAACTGGACTTTCTTTGTTTTTCCTTAAAGATGTTTTGCTTCTCATCCAAGAAGCTTTTTAAAAAAGCACCTTTGGGACTAATGTTTTAGAGATATAATTGTTAATAATAATAATAGTAATAGTAGTAGTAGTAGTAGTAGTAGTAGTAGTAGTAGTAGTAATGATGATGATGTTGGAAGGGACCTTGGAGGTCATCTAGTCCAACCCCCTGCTCAGGCAGAAAACCCTAAACCATTTCAGACAAATGGCTGTCCAGTCTCTTCTTAAAAACTTCCAGTGTTGGAGCATTCACCACTTCTGGAGGCAGGTTGTTCCACTGATTAATTGTCCTCACTGTCAGGAAGTTTCTCCTTAGTTCTAGGTTGCTTCTCTCCTTGATTAGTTTCCATCCGTTGCTTCCTGTCCTGCCTTCAAGCGCTTTGGAGAATAGCTTGACTCCCTCTTCTTTGTGGCAGCCCCAAGTCTGGTTCCAGCTAACTCTGCAAGCTGCCTGCATACCTGCTAGGGTGGGCCGTAAACTTTCCCCCTGATAAAAAATGGCTCTCTTCTGTTTCCTGTCAACAGAGGCAGGAAAAAGGAACTAAAACCACTAAGCAGCCCCTTGAGTCTGTCAAGAGGGGTAGTATTCTGTCATGGAGATGTGGTTGAGTGGCTTTACCAGCAAGGAAGGCACCCTGGGGAGGGCTTGTTATTGGAAAGATTGCAAGATATATTGGGAGATACGGTGAGTGGGAGTGACCTTCCCCCCCCCTTCATTTTTGTGCAAGCCTGATTCCTCAACCTGATGGACAAATATTCAGCGAGGTTTCCTCCGGTTGGCCCTACTGAATTTCCAGGCATCCCGCTGCCATAAAAAAACCCCAGTCTGGGTTTTCACAGTGTTGTGATTTATTGACTTATGAGTTGGTGTGTTGGGTGAACCCACCATATAGTTCAGTCAGAATAGAGCTGGAAGATAGTAACAGCAGTAAAGTTGGAAGGGACCTTGGAGGTCATCTAGTCCAACCCCCTGCTCGGGCAGGAAACCCTACACCATTTCGGACAAATGGCTGTCCAGTCTCTTCTTAAAAACTTCCAGTGTTGGAGCATTTAATGCTTCTGGAGGCAAGCTGTTCCACTGATTAATTGTTCTCACTGTCAGGAAGTTTCTCCTTAGTTCTAGGTTGCTTCTCTCCTTGATTAGTTTCCACCCGTTGCTTCTTGTCCTGCCTTCGGGTGCTTTAGAAAATAGCTTGATTCCCTCTTCTTTATGGCAGCCCCTGAGATATTGGAATACTGCTATCATGTCCCCCCCCCGTCCTTCTCTTCGTTAAACTAGACATACCCAGTTCTAGCAACCGTTCCTTATATAAGGATACCTTGGAGGTCTTCTAATCCAACAGCCTGCCCAAGCAGGAGACGATACCATTTCAGACAAGTGACTGTCCAATTTTTTTAAAAAAAACCCTCCAGTGATGAAGCAGCCACAACTTCTGGAGGCAAGCTGTTCCACTGATTAATTGTCCTCACTTTTAGGAAGTTTCTCTTTAATTTCAGGTTGCTTCTCTCCTTGATTAGTTTCCATCCGTTGCTTCTTGTCCTGCCTTCAGGTGCTTTGGAGAATAAGCTGACCCTCTCTTCTTTGGGTTCCAGAAATGATTTTTTTTTTAATTTTGATGATCTTACTCTTGTTTTTAACTATTTTTATTACACTGTCTGAATTTTTTTTATACTCTCTGAATGCCTGAATGGATGATTCTCTTCCTAATAGCATACACAGAACATCAGAGTTGGAAGAGATCCTGGAGGCCTTCTAGTCCAACAGGAGACCCTATACCAGTTGTAGGCAACCTTGGCTCTTTTATGACTCATGGACTTCAACTCCCAGAATTCCTGAGCCAGCATGGCTCAGCATGGAAACCTCTGCCTTTCCCCTCAGCGTGGCTGGCTCAGAAATTCTGGGAGTTGAAGTTCACCAGTCATAAAAGAGCCAAGGTTGCCTACCCCTGCTCTATACGATTTCAAACAAATGGCTGTCCAATCTCTTCTCAAAAACCTCCAATGATGGAGCACCCACAAGTTCTGGAGGCAGGCTGTTCCCCTGATTATTCTCCCTGTCAGGAAATTCCTCCTTAGTTCTAGGTTGCTTCTCTCCTTGGTTATTTTCCATCCATTGCTCCCGATTAATTGTTCTAACTGTCAGGAAAGGGGGCCAACTCCATCATGAACCCCTCCCACCTATTCAATGCATGCTAAAAACTGGGGTTGGGAGTCGCCAAAACGCTTCTTGTCCACACAGGTGCCCTGTCTGCCTGACCCAGACAAAGCACAAGCAAAAACAGTTGGAAACAGTTGGAAACAACCAACTTTGCCTACCCCTGGACTTTGGGGTAGCCCCTCAAATACTGGAATACTGCTATCATGTCCCCCCTCGTCCTTCTTTTCTCAAGACTTCCAGCCACCGCTCTTCATATGTTTTTGTTGCCAGGTCTTTATTCATCTTAGTTGCTCTTCTTTGCACCTTTTCCAAAGTCTCAACATCTTTTTTGTAATGTGGTGATCAAAACTGGATGCAGTATTCCAGGTGTGGTCTTACTTTGTTGTTGTTAGTTGCAAAGTCATGTCCGACCCACCATGCCCCCATGGACAACGTTCGTCCAGGTCTTCCTGTCCTCTACCATCTTCTGGAGTCCATTTAAGCTCACGCCTATTGCTTCAGTGACTCCATCCAGCCACCTCATCCTCTGTCGTCCCCTTCTTCTATTGCCCTCAATCTTTCCCAGCATTAGGCCTTTCTCCAGTGAGTCCTTCCTTCTCATTAGGTGGCCAAAGTACTTGAGTTTCAACTTCAGGATCTGGCCTTCCAAAGAGCAGTCAGGGTTGATCTCCTCTAGGACTGACCGGTTGGATCGCCTTGCAGTCCAGGGGATTTGCAGAAGTCTTCTCCAGCACCATAGTTCAAAGGCCTCCATTCTTTGGCGCTCAGCCTTTCTTATGGTCCAACTTTCACAGCCATACATTGCAACTGGAAAAACCATGGCCTTGACTATATGTACTTTTGTTGGCAGGGTGATGTCTCTGCTTTTTAGTATGCTGTCTAGATTTGCCATAGCTTTCCTCCCCAGGAGCAAGCGTCTTTTAATTTCTTGGCTGCAGTCCTCATCTGCGGTGATCGTGGAGCCCAGGAAGATAAAATCTGTCACTACCTCCATTTCTTCCCCATCTATTTGCCAGGAATTGAGAGGGCCGGATTCCATTATCTTGGTCTTACTAAGGATTTATAAAGCGGTACTAATACTTCACATAATTTTGATTCTATGCCTCCTATTGTAAACCTTAATTTGTACTTTACTGTATTGGGTAAAACACAGCCAGTTTTTGATTCAAGACACCAGGGCTAAGCACTTGAGAAGTCAGCCAATAATCAAAGGATTTTTGTGACTAACTGTTCTTTAATAACATGAAATTGCAGACAGTATATAGTTAAGTTAGAATTAATCCATTTCATCCAGTGCATTCAACAATCATTTGTGAAAGTAATATGTTCCCAAGTATGTTTAAAGAAACAATCCTTCTAGGCAGGCATAATGTAAATAGAGAATCTGATTGTTTCATGTTTTGTACACCAATATTTTTATGTAATCAAGACTGGGGCTTCAATGGAATCAGAAATCTGTCTGGATGCTCCATTGTTGGCATTTTTTTATTCTCCTTCCCTTATGATTTCTATGTTGGGATTTTAGGATATTGATTGCAATGATGTTTATATTTATAATTGCTATTTTCATGTTTTCTGTTTTATCTATTGTCCACGCCCAGAATCACCTTTGGTGAGATGGGTGGCTATATAAATTTGATTATTTTTTCCCCCTTCTCCTATGTGCAGGTTGTATTTGTAACAACACAATCACTGATACTACTCCAGTTATTCCAGCAACAGAGCAAGCTAAAAGCACAGATCAAAACCCTGCAAAACCCAACAATCACGTCGTAACGACTGCAACTATGGAAACGGATCCCACTTGTCAGGATTCCAAGCCTTTGATGCAACACCGTTCCCTGTCGTCCATCACCATGAAACCCGTAGATACCTCTCGAATCATTTTGGAAGGGAGTTCTGCCACTCTGGAGTGTCAGTTTAAGGCCCCATCTGGGGTAAACGTTTTCTGGAAAAAATCTTGCTCCCCAAATTGTAGCAGCAGTCTTAACGTCTCCGATACCAGCCACCGCAAAATCTCTACAAACATCTTTCAGGGCTGGTCAAAGCTCTTCTTTCATTCAACCCAAAGGAATGATACTGGCATGTACTACTGCTTTCTTGTTGCTGACTCCGGTTATGGGCAATCATGTGGAACATATCTATGGGTCAGGAGTGAGTATAAACCTTAACACTATTAAGGGTTGGATGGTTATCTTTTGCAAATGGAGAGGAGAGGCACAAATGATGTGCCAGATCTCTAACCTAGTTTTTGATCGATTGGTTGATTGGTTGAGTCAGTGTTGACTCTTAATGATTACACAGAACATCTCCAGGATAGTCTGTCCCCAACCTGGCTCTTCAGGCCTTCCAATGGTGTGTTAAATACCCTAATAATCAAGTATGTACAGTGTCATGGTTCCGACAGATGAAACTCTTCAAAGAACTTCGAGGCATTGTTTACCTTAAAGAATCTCTATTAGGGAAGCATAGCATCGGCACTAACACAATCGAAGCCAAAAACTGGATTCCGCTCCCCTGAGCACATCGTATCAAAGCACAATTCCCTCCTCCAATTAACAGTCATAAATCACATTCTCCAATTAGTTTGAAACGCAGGCTTTCCCTCCAGTTCTCCAGCCCGCCAATTCTTATCCTCTCTTAGTTCAATAACCTTGGTTCACACACTAGGTCTAGTATTGTTATGTCTAGCTAAACTCTCATGTACATTCCTCCCCCCAGCATCATCTAACTTTAACTCTAACTTTAAGAGTAAAACATAAGAAGAAAATGGTTGCATCTCCAACTGTTGTCAAAGCAAAAACATCTGATGTTAGCAGCGTTGACATCCAGCTTGCTATTTCCATTTTATTTTTATTTTCCTTCCAACTTTCTCAGCATTATAGACTTTTTTTAGAGTGAGGTTAGACCTCAGCATAAAAGGTACAGGTTAGCCAGCGGTATTCAGGAAGTCTGAAGACTGATATTCATTAGATGTAGATAATGCCTTACCTCTAAGAGCTCAAGGCTATTCCATCCTCCAGTTTATAAAGTGTAAATAAACTCAACAAGTTTATAAACAAGCCCAACAAGTTTGTGACGTATACAGTGTGCACACTTTTAGATTTAGTGTTTTTATTTGCCGTGTTTTTCAACTGTGAGACACATGGGACTAAGACAGAATGACTGACCGAGAGTCTCCTACCAGACTGTGATTGAGGGTACCATTCATGCACACGTGCACACAAACATACACACACACAAAGACTTACAATATTTCAGCTCTGGGATTACCCTAAAAGTCATTGAGTTAGTTGCAAAGACATCTTTGGTTATTCAATTTTTAGGAAACAGAACCTTCAGTGGAAAAATGTAGAAATAGCCTTTGGAAGGATTGAAAGCATAGAGCTAAATTACAATTAATAAGCAAATAGTACTGGTTGATATAAGGTCCAAAGCTGATTTGGATAATGACAAATAGAGGATTTCATATACTGTAACAAGAAATCCTGCAGGAAAAAAAGGTTGGGTTGTAGGAGTGAAAAATTCTTCCCTTATATAAATGATTGCTGTCTAAATACAGATGATTGTTAATTATTGTAGTACTTTCTATTGTGGGCACGAAAGAAACACTGGACCAATGCTGCTGATTTGCCAACTAATTAAAACCAGCTAATAATATCTACGCTTCTGGTTTCCTTCATCACTTGGCAGGAAAATATTAGGTATCTATGTGTCTCTGGTTTCATTTATAGAATAATTAGAATACGGTATATGGGGAAATAATAGACTAATTACTAATTATTCGTTGGAATATGGAAGCAAAGGGTTAAGTAGCCTCTTCCTCATCTTGTATTTAAGTTCAGAAATTTGTCTCAAGAGTCTTCACCAGATAAAGATAACAGGCACCAAATTCTTACCGAAACGTGTATTTGTGAAATAATAGTAGCTAATGTAATCAATTCAGAGAATAGATATTGAGGGGTGCTTTTTTATTGCATCTTTTCCCACAAAACTTTGATCCCCAACACAGCTGTTTGTCCTTCTGTCTGGTTCAAAATTATAGTATCTCAGTCTTTTTTTTTTAATATGCTCCATCACAATACACTGTGAATTGGAACTTTCATTTCCTTTTCGAAATTGCTGCTTGTCTGTGATATGATGCACCTCCGGCCCACACATGTTAATTTGAAGTTTTTAAATAGGCAGGAGGTGTCTGCAGAACTTGTTACAGGAAGAGACTTCTACATAGGAGAAATCCAGACAGCTGGTTTGGCACATAAGAACTCCAAAGTGAGCAAGCAAACGTTTCAGGAGATTGTGTATCCTCCATGCTGTTCCAGGCACTAAGGACACAGAGACATTTAAATGTATATAAATGCATCGACAAGGCCAATATAAGTCTAATTGGTTCCGTGGATATCTGAGTTAGATAATGCTGTCTGGTTAGTTGGTTGGGAAATATATGAGACTTAAATACATACTATACATCAATGCATGTAATCTTCTGCTCATTAAAATGGAGACTGTGCCAAACAATTAACATCCATAAGCTGGCTACGTTTAACATGCTGTAATGGTTACTGAACGAACCCACATTCTGGGTTTGTGTGATAAAATAAACCCAACAGTTACTACATGGCCAGTAGTTATACTATGTAAATCACCCGTCATGAACCAAGATTGAAATGAGCTAAGGTTAGAATGTTGTACAAATCCAACTGTGGGATTTAAAATTGACCTGCTTATGTTTATTGTGGCAGTTTATTTTGTCAATGTGTTTGCCATTTTGCAAAAATTGCTATTTGATAAAAGGACCTCAGGGAATTAATAGACACATCTGTTATTTGCAGCAAAATGAGTTGGCAGCGTACATAATTCTGAAAAAGAGAATTCCAAGTGGGTGGTAAATAGGAAGATCAGGAATCTTATGAGGTTTCCAATCAATTGTCCATTTTTGGCTGTCTTCTAGAACCTCACCCCATCTCCTTCCTGAATATGCGTGAATCCATTAAAAACAAGATTATCACTGTGGAAGGATTCCTTCTGCTTATCTGTGCCATTGGTCCTGGCCTTTTTCTGCTGTTCAAGGTGAGCTGTTTTTTTCCCTTCACATATCATTTCCATACATGCATATATAGTGTGACCCATTCTGAATCTGTTTGTGCATAGTTTCCAGTCACCAGATCTTGTTCTGCTTTTGATCACTATGTTAAAGAATATTTTGCTTTCTCGCAGAGGCATTAGCAGACAGTTTACAGTAATGGAAAGATCAACTGGTTTCAAAAGTATCATTAGGAGATTGTTATTCTTGGAACTATATTTTGAATTTCTTTTGAACATTTCTTTCACAGTATGGGTATTACATCAGATCCAATTGGCAGTAATCTAAGTAACTATTAGTAACATGGATTAGGCAAGTTGTTAGCTATACACATTAGGAGGAATCTATAGCTGGTTTCTCAAAATAAAATTCTATTGATGCCTGCTTTTAGGAGAATATTCCTACAGTATCGCATATATCTTTCTATTTTTTTCCATCATTTAATGCAAAACATTGTATGTGAGTCTCAAAACAGTTTTTCATAGGGGGGATGAAAAATTAGGCCCAGACTGTTAGCATAAACAAACAAGCTGCATCTTGTGTCTTAAATCTATGTCCTATTAACTGTCAAACATTTGTTGTTACATACCCATTTCCATATCAAAATCAGTGGACAGAACTTAAAACTGGACTTACGAAATTAAGTCAGGACCTACCTACAATATACTAAAACAGCTCCACAATAATTGATAGAGAAGTTGGCCATGACTAGCGTAAATCCTAGTATAGTAAATATTGAATGAAATGGGATTTTAAAAAATTCTTCCAGTTTATAGTCCAAAATGAAGTTCTGCATACAAACTCTTCATTATATCTGACAGTTGAATTTACTCAGCTATGTGACAAGGCCTATTCAAACATCTGTTGTCGTTTACTATCTGCACATGAATAGATTTTCCTGGTTGGTTTTATTTACTTAAATTGTTTTATATACCCTATCTCACTACTATTACTCTGGGCAGTTAACAAAGGTTCAAAAATAGTACATCTATATAGATATAAAAATCATATGACTAAGAGGTCATACAAAAGAATCTGGATTCAATTACTTTCCTGACCCTCATGCCTGGGCACAACCAGGTCTTCAAGATATGAGCAGGTTGAGATCAACCTAATCTGGGGCAATATGATTTTCTAGATGGGGGAAGGGGCACAACTAGATTGCTAGATGACAGTCCCTGATTGAATGGATTCCTAACCAATCTAACCTTCCTAACCAACCTAACAGACTGAAATCATGGGAGTAAGGCACTTAGTTTGCTCTTAAGCATCCTCTATTGACTGTGTTTTTATTTGCGTAAAGTACAATACTAAAACATTTTATATTAATTTCACCAAAGTTGAAGTTAAATATAGAAAGACTTTTCAACCAGTGGTACAGGTACCACCCTTGCTACATTGGCACCTGGCAGGTGGTATGCGACCATCCTAGAAAAGTAGTAGTGGGGGGGGGGGAATGAGCTGAACTGGTGGCAGCGCCGCACAAGCCTGAGAGAGAGACGGCTGGAGCTGCAGGGCTGTCAGGGCTAAGTGGAAGCGCCAGGATCAGCGCCAGGCTCCAGCTGGAGCTCGGCCCTGATCCTGGTGCTTCTGCTGATCCCTGAAGAAGCACCAATCAGCTGGAAAGCAGCGCTGATCCTGGCGCTTCTGCTGAGCCCAGAAGAAGCGCTGATCAGCTGGAATGTTGCAGCATCTCCAGGGTCTTGTGATTTACATTCAGATGCTTGGCAACTGATTCATATTTATGACGGTCACAGTGTCCCAGGGCCATGTGAAGGGACCAAAACCTGCTGCAACCACCCAGCATACGGGAGGAATAAAAACCAAACACCTCCCCACCCCACCCCCACTGCCAATCCTCAACAGAAATGCTCACAACAATGAAAACCTCGGACAGGAGGAAGAGCGCCTCCAGGCGGGCAGGCAGGTGTCTTGCTCTGCTGTGGCTTGGGGGGGCGCTTTTTTCAATGCCATTGTAACTTCGAACAGTCATTAAGCAAACTGTGTTAAGTCGAGGACTACCTGTACTTTATCAGTTTTTTTCCTTTTTGGGGGGAGGGTCATCAAGTTTTTGACACCTTGCTAGGTGACTGGTGGTACTCGGATGTTGCCATACCCTAGAAGTGGTACAATGGGTAAAAGGTTGAAAAGCCCTGACTTAAAGCATAATATTAGTTGACTTTTTAGTGAATCCTAGCCTCTTGTTATCTTGCTTGCAGAAGAGATGGGAAAACGAGCGCCTCTTGCAAGCCAAGAAGAAAGCTTGTGAAGAGGAGAATCTGTATGAAGTAAGTCAATGGAGTGATTCCTGAGTATATTGCAGAAGCAAGGGGAGGAAATAATGGGATAGATAACAATGAAAACAGGGATTTCAGTTAGACCTATTCTACTATAATCTACGCACCCCAAACTATAGTACAAGAATACATAGATAGTGTAGCTATGATGGTGCTATAAATGGAGGGGGCAGAAGGAGGATCCTGATATTCACCAATGGAAGAATTTTTTTCAGTTGGAAAGATGTTAATTTTTACTTGGTGTTACTTTTATTGTATCTACTGTATTTGCAGTCCATGCTTAGTAAGGTTGTGTAGGATTTTAGCCTTAACTTCCTCAGTACATGACTTTCAGAATAATGAACTCTTTGTCTTTTCCCTTCAGGGACTGAATCTGGATGATTGCTCAATGTATGAGGACATCTCCAGAGGTCTACAAGCTACTTACCAAGACATAGGCAATGTCAAAGTGATTGATTTACAGCTAGAGAAACCAGAGAAACCATGAATTAAAAATGCCTCGTTGTAATTTTCTAGTTTATTGAAAATGGTTATTTTAAAAGTCTTCCTTGATATCTCTTGCTGATAATGTGTACATATGTGATGGCGATTCTGTATTTTCCTATATTTAGAGAATAATTGTATAACTTTTAATCTTGAGAAGTGAGCTCTGCACTGTCAAAAATTGGCTTGAATAGAATCTCGTAAATGAAATAAGCAAAAACCTTTGATTTCCCAAAGAAGAAAATACTCTGATTATATGCTATTTCATAATTCTCTGATTCCTGATTGCCATTATTTTAAAAAGGAACATCTCTCTGAGATTCTGAAATATAAGCAATGATTAAATATTACCTATGGTGACATTTACAATTCATTAATTTCTTATGCTTGCTTTCAGCCTCTCAATTTGTATAAAAAGAGGCACATCCATAAACTGTATTTGCATTAATTTCAAATTATCATTTTCTCCTCTGAATTGAACATTTAAAAGATTATCTCATATTTGTAGAAAAGTCTTATTGTGGATGGTGCTAATTGGTAGTGGGTATGTTCTCATTAAAGAAACAAAGAAAAATGTCATCACACATCCAACATTTGGAGTAGCTGTATATAACATTTTTTAAATATAAACCTGGTGAAATAAAATAAACAAATGCCTCATTTCCCTGCAAAAACATAAATGGATAACAATATTTGTGATATCTATATGAAGAAATAAAACGTAAGAAATCTAGATGTCCAGCAACAGTACTCCCTGGAAGAACATTCTTATGACACCTGCAAAAAGAAAAAAAATTAAAAGGAAAAGACTGGAATGACATGGACAAATAGCCACTGCAATGTTTCTCTTCACTGTTTATTTGCTATTTTAATACTTTCCCATTCTTTAAGGGAAAACATAGCTTTACTTATACTTCAGACTTGTGAATACAGTAAGGCTTCTACCTTGTTTTTTTTTTCACAGAGCAAACAATAGCAAAAACAAGCAGTGGTAACATAAATTCCAAAGACAATGGGTTTTGGCTTTAGTAGGTGCCAACAACTTTCATGGGATAATTCTTCAATATTTGACAGTTTTAATCAATGCCCTGTTGTAATCCTATGGTTTCTTAATGTCAATTAGTTTTTTAATAAATTAAACTTTATTTTATGACTCAAAATCTATGGCTTTGATATATTCTTTACTGAAGATGTGTTAGATTACTCATTTCAAAAATACTTCATAATTTATATTTATATATTTAGTAGTACTATTTGACAGTTGGTCAATATGTCAAGCTTGATGAATACTGGGCACTACTTGGATGAGACAGTGAAACTTTTCCCACAGTCCTACATGAATACGGCCTCTCTCCTGTATGCGTCCGCTTGTGAGTGGCCAGGTGAACTGATTGGCTAAAGCTCTTGCCACACTCCCTACATGAATACAGCCTCTCTCCTGTATGCGTCCGCATGTGAGTGGCCAGGCTTGATGAGACAGTGAAGCTCTTGCCACACTCCCTACATGAATACGGCCTCTCTCCTGTATGCGTCCGCATGTGAGTGGCCAAGTGAACTGATTGGCTAAAGCCTTTGCCACACTCCCTACATGAATATGGCCTCTTTCCTGTATGCGTCGGCATGTGTTTAGCCAGGCTTGATGAGACAGTGAAGCTCTTGCCACACTCTCTACATGAATACGGCCTCTCTCCTGTATGCGTCCGCATGTGAGTGGCCAGGTTAACTGATCTGCTAAAGCTCTTGCCACACTCCCTACATGAATACGGCCTCTCTCCTGTATGCGTCCGCATGTGAGTGGCCAGGCTTGATGAGTCAGTGAAGCTCTTGCCACACTCCCTACATGAATACGGCCTCTCTCCTGTATGCGTCCGCATGTGAGTGGCCAGGTGAACTGATTGGCTAAAGCTCTTGCCACACTCCCTACATGAATACGGCCTCTCTCCTGTATGCGTCCGCATGTGAGTGGCCAGGTGAACTGATTGGCTAAAGCTCTTGTCACACTCCCTACATGAATATGGCCTCTCTCCTGTATGCGTCCGCATGTGAGTGGCCAGGCTTGATGAGACAGTGAAGCTCTTGCCACACTCCCTACATGAATACGGCCTCTCTCCTGTATGCGTCCGCATGTGAGTGGCCAGGCTTGATGAGACAGTGAAGCTCTTGCCACACTCCCTACATGAATACGGCCTCTCTCCTGTATGCGTCCGCTTGTGTTTAGCCAGGCTTGATGAGTCAGTGAAGCTCTTGCCACACTCCCTACATGAATACGGCCTCTCTCCTGTATGCGTCCGCATGTGAGTGGCCAAGTGAACTGATTGGCTAAAGCCTTTGCCACACTCCCTACATGAGTATGGCTCCTGTCTTACATGTGTTTGTTTCCAAGTGGATTGTCCTGATGATTGGCTTAAAGCTAGCCCATATTTTCTGTATGAATAAGACTTCTTCCCTATACAACTCTGCTTCTGTCTGATCAGACATAGTAATGATCCATCAACCTTTTTTACATGTTCTTTATATAAATATGGCTTTCCTCTATATGACTGATCGTGAGTAACCAGCTGAAAATGATTTTTCCCATTGTTTTTATGATTCTTATTCTCTGCTTCTTTATTTTTATCTTTCAAAAAAAGAATTTCATTATCTTTACCTTTGTTCATGTTGCTTAGTAGTCTATATTTCACCGTAACTTGGTAGGAAGCATAAGTTCTTATTTTGAGTAATGATTTTTCTGTTAGTATTTTTTCCGTTTCTTCAGCAAGTATTATAAATCCAGAATGCTTCCTTTTCATATGGCGGGTGAGATAATCTTTGCAAGTAAATGCTGTCTCACAACTGGGACACTGATGGCAAACTATTTGTTGCTTCTTCACCAAGTATGAATTCTGCTTGTGAACTACTTGAAAAGAAAAAACAAAATTATTGGCAAAAACATGTAGAACTATTTCTATGAAGAATCTGCTATGATTTATAATTTCTACCTGAGAAGAATTTATTTTTGACAGCCCAGCAATGAAAAAAGTACACTTCAGAGTTTATAACTTTTCTTTCACATTAAAGAGTTCACTATTCTTATTATATCAATACATTATATAGTTAGATAATTTGCAATTACCCATGTTGAAACTCAACATTAAGAAAATCAAGATCATGGCATCCGACCCTCTCCATTCCTGACAAATAGATGGGGAAGAAATGGAGGTAGTGACAGATTTTATCTTCCTGGGCTCCAAGATCACTGCAGATGAGGACTGCAGCCAAGAAATTAAAAGATGCTTGCTCCTGGGGAGGAAAGCTATGGCAAATCTAGACAGCATACTAAAAGCAGAGACATCACCTTGCCAACAAAAGTACATATAGTCAAGGCCATGGTTTTCCCAGTTGCAATGTATGGCTGTGAAAGTTGGACCATACGAAAGGCTGAGCGCCAAAGAATGGAGGCCTTTGAACTATGGTGCTGGAGAAGACGCCTGCGAGTCCCCTGGACTGCAAGGCGATCCAACCGGTCTGTCCTGGAGGAGATCAACCCTGACTGCTCTTTAGAAGGCCAGATCCTGACGTTGAAACTCAAGTACTTTGACCACCTAATGAGAAGGAAGGACTCACTGGAGAAAGGCCTAATGCTGGGAAAGATTGAAGGCAATAGAAGAAGGGGACGACAGAGGATGAGGTGGCTGGATGGAGTGACTGAAGCAATAGGCGTGATCTTAAATGGACTCCGGAAAATGGTAGAGGACAGAAAGGCCTGGAGGAACGTTGTCCATGGGGTCATGATGGGTCGGACACGACTTCGCAATTAACAACAACAATTATCCATGCAGTATAAAAGTGGGTTTTAGAAATAAAGGTAATTGTTAATTGTTAATAATTTAATTTTAATTCTTTTTAGGCATAACTTCTTTGTTAGAAGATTTTACACAAGTTGTTAAAATTACATTTGAGCTCAGCAGAATGAAATGATAGACTGGACTGAACAAACTGAATATGCAAGACCCTCTTATAAAGATTTCTACATTAAAATATATGTATTAATATATCTCCATCCAAAGGTGATATTGTGAACAAGAATTTCTTCTGATTAGGTTTTATTTTCTTCATGGAAAAATATTTAAAAGGCATTAAAAGGCATTCCTACTGTAGCCTCCAATAATATTATTTAGTTTTTATTGTGTTGATGAACCAATATATCTAACAGCATAGTTGTCAAATCTGGTTAAGGCAGAAAAGATGAAAATAATATACTTGCAGTAAAAGATTTCACAAAAATTGGTAGTGTGTGGGGCCAAACAAATGTAATATATATTTATCCTATCATTATTAAAATAGCTTTCAATACCTGTGTTTGAGAGGAAAACAAGGGCAAGACTTCTAAATTTTTTTCCTCATCTATTAAAAATAAGCTCTTACTGAAGGAAAAAATATGAGCCATGGACCAATATTCATATTATGAATATAACCAATGCCAAATTTTAATGTAATAGCTATAATCATGTTGTTATTATACAATAATAGTAGAAGTACAAATTATCTCTCATCCTTCAAATAAAGTGCTACTTAAAAGTGGAATAAGAACTGGCAAAATTCTGGAAGTCACACTAACACCATGTCAAAACATCAGTTGTATCAACAGACACTGACTATGTGAAATTGTTCCTTGGTGTATTATGGCTTAGAGCCACAATTTCATTTGTAAAGCCAGTTTTTTGACAATATTTTAGCCTAGGGTCTTAAATTACTTGAATAATTAGATACTTATTTAGATACTAAATAAGGGCCATAGAAAAATTAGTTACTTATTTAGATACTAAATTTGGGAACCTCTGGTCTAGAGCTATCATTATTAATTTAAGTAATGAATCATCTAGCATTATACCATTTAGCGATTTCCATTTAGATCCCCATTTGATGCCAAGTTCCTTTCCATATTCTTCTCCATACCAAACCAGGAGCTCAGATTGAGGTTGAATTACTTTACACGTTCTGTAGTATATTTCCGCATGATACTGGAAAGCAACAAGATTTTGTTCTTCCTCATTTCTGGCACAGTTAACATACCTATTGTTAAGAGGGTGACTGATGTTAAAAGAAAAAGTTGTCATCAAAGAAACCAGGAAAGTAGATAGATCTGGGCCAGTCATTCTTTCTCAGTCCAACCTACCTCACAATATTATTGTAGTGGGGGAAAATATAAACTCACCTTGGGATACTAAATGAAAAGTGGTATATGTTGTAAATTAAATGCATACTTGTATACATACAATTGTGTTATAGTCACAGCCCTAGAATATTACTATCACTCTTGTTTCTCCCCAAAAACTGTATTTTTAATTTTTGCCCTTGCAGAGCAAAATGTATCAGTGAGATAATAGTATATTTAGAGTTACAGCGATTTTGGTCTCTGGACAAAATCCATTGAACAAAGAGGTATTTTTTGAGACCAGTTCTAATATTCCCAAATCTGGAAAGTGACAATCTGCTTTTAAATTTTGTCATGTACATTGATAATAGCATAAACTTGTGCTTGAATTTAGGATGATTTAAACAAAACTGAAACCAAGAAGTTCTGGGGAACTTCTCAGATCATGAAAGCATGAATATTTATACACTTATTTAAAAATTATTTACACTTATTTAAAAAGTAAATATGGAATAATCTAGGCCTAGGGAATGGCCAAAATGAAGGACAAACATTTTTAGAAGTCCAGATCACTTATATTCATAAGGAAAACAATGAAGACAATACATAGTATATGAAATACTAATATTAATATTTTGTATTATTTACCATTAATATTACAAATAACTGTTAGAAATTGTTGAGAATATTCGTAGCTCGGGTTGTAGATTTTGGCAGAGCACAGTTCCCTTGCTGTTTAGCTCCCATTCGTTTTATTACCAAAGTACTTGCTATGAGGTGCAGAATTCAACTGATGAGGGGATGGTTGATTCTTGTCAATTGGTGGCTCAGATAGTCCGTTTCCTTATTGGTTCATACACTGGTTCTTAGTCAATGTGTTTGTTGATGGACCCATTGGCTTCTACCACTCCCTCACCAGTTGAATTCTGCATCTCACAGCAACCAGTCACAAGACCAACTGACCTATATAAACAAGACACTTCACCCAAAAATCCTGCTGGAGATGTTACCTAGTTTGGTAATGAAATGTCCGGGAGCTAAATAGCAAGCTTGGAGAATAGACCCCTGCCAAAACAAACAGCTGTTATTCAGCTGTAGTCAAACTGTTCTTTTCAGCTATAGAAAGACCAAAGGAAGCTAAATTGGAACATTTCTGTATAATTTTTTACAGTTGTGTACTTTCTCAGGTAAAAATCACTTTTTTGTAAACAGAGAAAAAGTTTTCTATACATGGGAAGTGAAATATTTTGACCATCTGTAGTTATACAGAATTATTTCCATTAAAAAGGACACAATAAAACTTGTGGACAGAAGTATTAAAATTCCAGTACATTTTGAAAGCTACTATATATCCTGATTGTACAAACTGAACATTTCTTCAAATTTTTACTCAATATCTATCCATATTATCTGACACCATAGTTCATTTCTTTGCATTGATCTACCTCTATTATTAATCATTAGTCCACTTTAAGAAAGGAATTTCCTTTGTGCAAAATGTCATGGTTTCTCACCTTGAAAGCTTTTGATGATCCTCATATTGCACTTATCAAAGAAATTGGAAGCCATTTTCATTGTACAATGTATAATGCAAATATGGCTGAATGGCAGAAATACGCTGTTCTAGTTTTGACTTATCTGTCACTATATAATTATACCAAGTGCTTTGCAAAATATTTTCTTTGTTTCTTATAATTCAGACTTGTACAATTGTGACTATAAGTTAATTTACCTGGAATTTCATTTAGATCAATGAAACATCCTTATATATTCACAAAGTTGACATAGTACAGTACAGCTGTATTGCATGGTATTAAAATCAAGTAATGTGGCTTAGATAGTTAGCAGATTGTTTGTGCTATAGGTCTTTTCAATACTATTAAAATACTATTATACAAAAGTCTCTTTAATTTTATCAAAAAATTTTACCTCATCCAGTTGGAATTAGTTTCATTTTTTCCATCAACGTAAATGTAACAATTCTGCTCTCTGGTAATCTGTAATTATAATAAACATGATCTATGTATGTCAATGGGGAATTGACACAATAATGAATACAATTTCATTGTAATATGGTAATAATATAATGACATGTCTTGTCTTAATTAATCTCTAGTAAATGGGGAAAATGTACTAAATGTTATCACTTTTTAGTAAATGATAAGAAAATAATATCAAAACATTTCCCTGTTTTATATCTAATAAAATATTGGTTGCAACTTGCTTAATTCAAAGTGCAAAGTACCAAAAGCAATAAATCAACACAGCTTCTCTAAAGAGGGATTTCCATGGCCACACATCACAATGGAGAAAATGCTGTTTTCATGTTAACAGAATAACAGAATGACAGAATTGGAAGGGACCTTGAAGGTTTTTTAGTCCAATCCCCTGCTCAAGCAGGAAACCCTACACAATTTCAGACAAAAGGTTGTCCAATTTCTTCTTTAAAATCTCCAGCATTGGAGCACCCACTACTTCTGGAGACAAGTTGTTCCATTGATTAATTGTTCTCACTGTCAGGAAAATTTTCCTTAATTCTAGGCTGGTTCTCTCCTTGATTAGTTTCCATCCATTGCTTCCTTCTTGTGATTTGGAGAATAGGTTGATCCTCTTTTCTTTGTGGCAGCTCATTAGATATTAGAATACTGCTATCATGTCACCCGTAGTCCTTCTAGACATACCCAATTCCTGCAACTGGTTTTTATATGTTTTAACTTTCTGTCCCCTAATTATCTTTGTTGCTCTTCCCTGCATTCTTCTAGAGTCTCAACATTTTTTTTTAGACTAGCATATTTAAAGGAAAAACACTAAGCACAGAGACTTACAACCAGTGTCCAAAATTATAGATTTTGCAGTACCTCTGCAGTCATGAGATAAAAATTCAGATGCTTCAATTCTCCCCACCCACCTATCTCTCTCCCTACATCTATTCCCTTTTGGCCCTCTGCTACCCTGTGATCTACCACCCATGCTGACCTTCACCATCTTCTTGTTCTCATTGCTGATGAGGCATATGGTATGGCCTGGATTGGGGTGAATATTCCCATAATGACCCACAATTCTCAGTTAAAGATAGTAACCAGGACTGCTGGAATTGTATTTGCTCAGTGGTAGTCATGTGAGACCTTATCTTACAACCACATTGCTTAGCAATCACAATTCTGATCTCAGTTGTAATTATAATTCAGGGACTACCTATAAAGCCACATGTTACTGTAACATAAATTAGGTTTGCTCAGTCAATGAAAATGAAATTACACAAAACTCCTGTAAAATCCAAGTACTGTTATCATACCAGCCAGGAATAGCCACTGTTCGCTGCTGCTTCTTCCTCTGTCCTTGTCCCTTCGTATGGTCCAAAATGAATTCCTGGAGGCAATGTTTCACTTTCATTCCAGACTCCAAAACCAGCTCTGGGGATACTTGAAAGGCCAATTCTAAAACCTGAAGGTAAAGTGCAGCTGGCTCTATTTGCCAGTCCTAGTTCAGCTGCTGTGTCTCTGATGAAAAGTGGAGGACCATGAACAGAACACTCATCAACAAAGAATGTCAGGCAATATTCACAAACTAAGAAAGTGAAAAGAGATAAGTGAATATGGAGCCAGAGTCCAATGAATTATCCTTTGTTAAATTCAGTTTTCTACAGGCAATATATATTATGAATAATATCACTTGTTTGCATATCAATGAAGTTTATCCTGCCCATTTTTATGCCTACCAATTATTTAAACAACAGAATAGCAGATGAGTTGATATTCAAAGCTCATGAGGTGACAGCAGCTGGCTAGTCTTGTCTGCTTGTAAACTAAGGAAGGTTGGGACTTAATACTTGAAGGTAAAATTACCAGAAAATCCTAAAGCTGTAGATTAGACTGGGAAGCTGAAGAATATCCTGGCAAAGGCAATCTCCTTCTGTATATAGGAAATTTATATATGTGGAAATGCTGCATATTGTGAAAGAATGTTTGCCAATACAGCAAACAGCTTTCAAATGCTTAAGAGAACTATCCTCCATACATTTATTAAATTTATATTAAATCTATAACCATATATAAATGTTTGTTTAGGAGAAATGAAGAACAAAAATGATCATTAAAAAAGTGCCTCTCACATAAGTAATCATCATCATTTGGTTCATTTATTTCCATGTATACTTTTCTTTCTCTCTTCCGTAATCTGTAAGTGCTAACTTCTTTGTTCTGTTCTTTTTTCCTTTCCTTTTTCTTTTCAGGCACAACTTTTGTTTGGAAATCTGAAAAATAAAGTATAGCACATAAAATTCAATATTGTAATCTATATTTCCATGGAAAGCAACAAAACCTCAAGTACAAGAATGGGAATTAAATCATTGTTTTTCTCAGAATTTGTATCATGCCAAGTAAGAAGTTCAAGAATTATACAGTACAATTGTATTTTATTAATTGAATTTAGGATTAACAAACTGTAAGGCGGAAGATTTGGTAAAAAATTTGGGATGATCCATTATATTATAGGGGAAGTAAGAAGACAGACAAAATGTAGTACCAATATTGGAGAATACATCTAAAGGGCAACAAGAATTGACATCAGTAAATGTGTACAGAATACCTGAATCATGTTTACACTGACAGAAATCAGTACCAAATTATCTGCTTTATTAATCAGATTTTCAAGTATAGACATGCATTGTCAGTCCATTGAATGAAGTAGATTAAGATACTTTCTCAGGTTCCGAAACAATTTTCCCAAGAATTTCACTTTGTAGGACTAAAACATACATGAATTAATTACACAATAAATGCAATGTATCTTACAATTAAGATCAGTCTATTCTTGCATATACATATGCTAAATTAATAAATAGGCATTACAACATTAAGTTCTGCAGCAAAGGCATGTGAACATATTTGTACATGGATGTATGTTGTCTACTAACTTTACTAAAAAAATTTTTATAGTAAGAATAGTTTTAAAAAGGCATTCTGCTGCTGCAATATGAACATAAATAGTTGCTTTAAAGGATAGCCAATATGTACATATGCATGGCCAAACATGCTGAGCACTACCCTTTTTCTTTTGAATCTGAAGCTCTGCTACCAGATTCAGTTTTAAAGGCAAAATTTAAATTGTATAAAGCAAAGATGTTTCCCTATTGCTCCTAAATGTTCCTGTACAGAGAATGGGCAGCTGGCAGTAATTCAGTCTAAATTTCTGTATTCTACTCTTATAGCTTCCAATAGCACCTCAAAGGTCACAAAAGATGATCACATGACCCTGTAGCCATCATAAATATCAGAAAGTTGCCAATTTTGATCATGTGACTATGGGGATGCTGCAACAGTCATGTTAAAAACTGTCATGTCACTTTTTTCAGTGCCGTTGTAACTTTGAATGATCATTAAACAAACTATTGTACGTTGAATACTACCTGAATTGTTTGATTTTTAAAACATTTTAAAAAAAACATTGAACAATGAATTCCAAAGGAATACAGTACCTTGGTTTCCAATCAATTGTATGTTGATTCCACTAATAACAGCTTTGATCTTGACCAATGTCAGCCCTGTGACACTAGTGAGGTGGAGCTAGTGAACCATATTCTTTTGTTTTTTATTTTACAAAGATATTTGGGAAATACTGATCACATCCCAGTCACAAAACCATATTCTATTCCAGGGCTTTTCAACCAGTGGTACAGGTACCACCTGTGGTACATTGGCACCTGGCAGGTGGTACACGACCATCCTAGAAAAGTGGTAGCGGGGGAGGGGAATGAGCTGAACCAGTGGCAGCATCGCACAAGCCTAAGTGAGAGACGGCTGGAGCTGCAGGGCTGTCAGGGTTCAGCAGAAGCGCCAGGATCAGCGCTTCCTTGGGGCTGTCAGTGCTCAGCGGAAGCGCCAGGATCAGTGCCAGGCTCCAGCTGGAGCTCGGCACTGGTCCTGGTGCTTCTGCTGAGCTCAGAAAAAGCACCGATCAGCAGGAATGTTGCAGCCTCTCCAGGGTCTTGTGATTTACATTCAGATGCTTGGCAACTGATTCATATTTATGACGGTCACAGTGTCCCAGGGTCATGTGAAGTGACCAAAACCTGCTGCAACCACCCAGCAGACGGGGGAAATAAAAACCAAACACCCCCACCCCACCCCTGCTGCCAATCCTCAACAGAAATGCTCACAACAATGAAAACCTCGGATAGGAGGAAGAGTGCGGCTGGGCGGGCAGGCAGGTGTCTTGCTCGGCTGTGGCTTGGGGGGCACTTTTTTCAGTGCCATTGTAACTTTGAACAGTCACTAAGTGAACTGTTGTAAGTCGAGGACTACCTGTACTTTATCACTTTTTTCCTTTTTTGGTCATCAAGTTTTTGACACCTTGCTAGGCGACTGGTGGTACTCAGATGTTGCCATATCCTAAAAATGGTACAATGGGTGAAAAGGTTGAAAAGCCCTGGTCTATGCTTCCCATCTCCTATGAAATCAAAGGTTGAGTATTTTGAACAGCATAGCAAAGTTTTGTGCCATTGTTTGCCTCTCATACCTCCAGGTACAATTTAATATGCTGAACCTCTGGTAAAGGTTTGTGTTCGTTTTTAGTTTTTATTAGAAGTTTTACAATCAAATCTTATCTTGCATTGTAACAGACTCTTAAGTATATTACAATTATCATGTTTTTTATCATTATTTCCAGCATTGTTATTTGTCTATCTTAACACAGGATGACTGAGGTACTATATATGAGTTAATATTATCTAGTAAGTGTTGCATCCTGCCACTCCCATGCTACATGATTCACATCTTTCACAGTACTACTGTAGTGACTTGATGAATTTGTATCATCTTGAGCAGCTGTAACAAAATAACATAAAATCAGTTATTTTGCCAGACTGATACAATGATATTTTTTTACTTACATAAAATACAACCTTTTAAGCGACACTAGTTATATGTTACCACTTTAAAGGGCCACTAAAGGTATTATAATGAACAAACATTTATTTTTCTTAACTAGTTCTTAACAGCCGTGAAGTCTGTTTTAAAATTAACAGCGTGCATAGCACTTAAACATGTGTTTTTGTCAATTTTCGTGATGTTTTGCATTTGGATTGCAAGTTCTCTATTGTTGATTACCTCTGAAGCAAGAGTTATATTTTATTACATTTCAATATCTTGCAAACTTTCAGATATTTTTGTTACATTAAGATTATTTCGATAGCTTACCTATAAGTGTTGGTGTCCATTCCTCATCTGATTCAGAGGATTCATTTGCAGTCTTTAAGGGTCGGCATGCATAGTACATAAATGCTGGTTTAGGAGTAGGAAGACCTAATAAAAATATTAGTTATCACTTCTCAGGGAATGTGTTTAATGCTGCACTTTTTTTTTTACTGATTCCATGTTTTTCTGTTCTGCTGAGGATAGCATAAGGCATAATCACAATTATAGTGATAATTGAAAATAGGGAATTTTTCTCATTCTGGGCAACATATGTCCTTTTAAAATGCACCTAAAAGTGGCAGAATTAGCAAAACCCAATCAGATTAGACTAACTTTTTATGCAACACAGGATTATTGTTTTGTGCCTTAAGTTTTATATTGGCATACTTCTCTATTTCTTCAAGGATTGGACATGGTTATTTTGCTATCTCCTTATAGTGTGAATCAATTCATTGATTTGCTGAAGGCAATCCATTGTATCCAAACTTGGAAGGAAATTGTGCTCATGCTTCCTAAGGACAATTTCAGTATCTTCCCTCATGGGCCACTTATTAACCTCTTATTAATATTATTTGCTGTTTGTGGTTTAAGATGTTGTGTGTACATAGCCATAATCTCTAGAGTACGTCATTCAGATGAAACTTTACATTTTAATGTATTAAATTGTATGGCTTTGCTGAAGTTAGGACTGTAATAAAGGATGAAAATATATTTCAGCACCCAGTGACTTATTTTCCCATGAATATTTGATTTTAACATATGTATATCTGAATTCTTTGATGTTTCTCCTTTTGTATGGTTTCAGAACATGGGTGAACAATTCAATAATTAGTATTCTGCTCACCTAATTGAATCATAAAGTCGTAATTATGTTTCATGTTCTTATAACGTAATTTCTCCCATTCTCCCATTTCAGCCCACTGTTCTTTAGGAAAATAGATGGAGATGTCTTTAAACCTATCTTCAACCTAGTACAAAAGAGGACAGTTATATATATTACATGTTTACATTTTCTGCTTAAACAAATAAATGCCAAAGTTGGGTTACAATTTATCACCATTTTGAATAAATTTTAATTTACATTTAACAACACAGAGCTATTAATCAGTGGATCTGACACAAAGGATTGGGAATTGTTCTTAAAATACTAGATATATAGGTTAGGTAACTTTAGGTAGTCACTCTTTTGCAGCCCAACCCACCTCATAGGGTTCAGCTTAGCCGTTATCTGAATTCACATTTGATTGGACTTCATTGCTCTAATTGACCATTTTCAATAGAAAAGTAATTGCAGGATAATGTGCATTATACTATCATTGTATATGATACTATCAAACACTCTAATAAAATTTTTGCTCTTTTTTGCTAATTACAAGTCCAAATGGCACAAGACTAAAACTGCCACTGATCCAAAATTATATATATATATATATATATATATATATATATATATATACACAAATTTCTTTTTCTGACAAAGAGTTAAAGAATTAAATTGGGGGGCTGCAAGGCAAAAGAGATTGTAAAAAGTAAAACTGCAATATAGCAGTTAAAATGTCAAGGTGTAATCAATCAGACATCTGTCTGAAAAACTTCCTGCATATATATATAATTGTATATATGTTTTCTGAGATTTTCGCGGGTTTGTATGTAGGTCTTTGGTTACTCAGGTTTTCTCCCGGGTCAGGTGGTGGATATCCTCCCCATAGAGATACAATATTTGTTTTCTGAGGTTTTCGCAGGTATTTGCATGCAGGTCTTTGGTTACTCGGGTTTTCTCTAGACACTTCCAATTTGACGCAGAAGAAAACCTGAGTAACCAAAGACCTACACACACACACACACACACACACACCAAATGCTCCCCTAAATAAGGTAAATAAATAAAACTTCAACAGAGAAATTTCTCAGTTTTTCTTGCAAAGGTTTACATAGGTTTCCCTAGATTCAAATCTCCAGTTCAGCTAAATTAAGCTTGTCTTTTAATAAAGTTTGTCTGTAAAAATGCTACCAGATTCCTGATTTTGTGACCATACTCACAGCTCTATTCCTACAATGTACGATATCTATTCCCAGATAACTAACTGTACATAACACAGCATACTAAACCCTATCACATTCCTTGTAATTTTTAAATATAAAAATTTATTTCCTATCTTGAAAAAAAAAGTTGACATCTTTAAAAGCAGTAAGCATATCAGTTTGTTTCTGTGGAGTTTTAGAAACACTTATTATTCCCTCACCTTGGACTTTTGTCCACTTTTCTTATTAGTCTGCTTTTTGCTCCTATCTCCAGAATTCTTTTTCTTGGTACCTTTCTTTATCCCACCTGCCTCAATATTTATTGAAACATCAGATGACCTTGTAGTTTCTCCTATCAAGGACTCTCCTGCCCAAATCCTTGGATCAGTCTCCAAGTTCTCTATAGGAACACATCCTTCACTTTCAGCTGCTTTTTCTCCTGCAATATTATTTTTATCTAATATTTCTCCCCTCAGCCCTTGGGCTCCTGCCCCACTTGAAGTATCTTTGCTCTGTCCCTGGGACTCAGCCTCCATTTGCCTCAGCCCCTGAACTTCCATCCTAGAGGGATTTACTTCCTCTATTCCCTCAACCCCAGGTGGTCTCTCCTGCCCTGTTTCGTGGGCTTCTGCCCCAATTGGCAATTCCCCCCACTCCCTCTGAGATTCTGTCCCCGTTGGCATCTTTCCTCCAACTTCACCCCAGCGGAATCATCTATACGGGATCAAATCATCAGGCTTTGTCTTGTTAAGTGCTTTTCTCCATTAAATGTTAGATTTCCTTCCCCCACCTCAGTACTGGGTTACCCAGAAGCCAACCCAAAGTTGCCCCTTTCAGCCCCCCCTGCTCCACACGGAATGAGAGACCCTTCCCAGCTCCTTTCCCGCCTTCGAAGAGAAGCCCGCTAAAACGACGCACAACCAATCAGCGCCAAGCACGGGCAGGTTATGGCCAGTCATTGAAAAGCGCGGGAAAAAAGATCCGAATCTCTCGCTGCTGCGGGGATGATGGAATTCGCCTCAGAGCATTAAGAATGAGATACAGTATATATTTCTAGCCAACGGAAATCCGTGACTAATGTATATAAATCACAAAGATCGGTTTTCTCCAATTTGTTGCCTTCCAAATGATTTCGACTTTCATCATCGCCCGTACTGGGGGACAATGGGGGAATGAAATCCGGAACACTGAAAGGCATTACATTGGTGACAAGTGGGTTTTCAAAAAATGTGTGTGTACAGCACACGTGCACATACATCACCACAACCTAGTTCAAAAACTAGAATTCAGACATACAGTACAATGTGAGCTATTTACAAAGGAGGTTCCTTTGGAAGAAATCCAGAGTATTTTTTTTTCCTGTCATGGTGACTGGTTGAAGCATCACTCTGGTTTGGGTTTAATGTATGTTAAATCAGCCAAGCTGTCTATTTAGGGGGGCATGAGTTAACAACGTGATTTGCAAGGCAGCTTTCTCACCTTAAACAAAGTATCCTTAAATTGCTGCATTGCAAAGAGACTGAATTTCAACACTTGTAACTCAGCTAGGAAAGCCATGAGCCATGTTGACTGAGGATGGCAAAAGGTGTCATCTGTTCATCTATGCAGAAGCAGCTTCCAAATGGTGTTTTTAGCCACTGATTGCATGTTTGCCTAGTGTGTTGCAAGAATTTAATTTGTGTGGCTACTTTATTGGGTCACTCAAGCACAGAAAATTGGGTTAGGTTGGATAAACTATGGTTAACTATGGCTAAATGCATCATAAAAATGGCCTCTTGAGTAAGAAAGCTCTTGGATCATCAGTATCAATATTTATCCAGTGAATGCCCAGCAGAAATTAAAAAAAAAAAGATTTAAAGACACAAAAACAGAATGAAGAAAATAACAAAATTATCTGGGAGAGGCTTGGTCAGCCCTGCAGCTTCTTGATTTCAGAAGCTGGTCTTGCTACAATTCCTTTTTTGGGTAACATTAAAAGTCCCCAAAATGGACTTTGTTTGAACTGAAATTGGAACAGATTTACACTATTGCAAGACAACCATGTGGTGTCACTGTAACATCAAGATGAGCATACAAGTGGAGAGTACAAATAATGTAGAGTTTTTGAAATTTCTTGGGTGGCTCTTTGATTTCTAAATAAATTAACCTCCTTTCTGATGCATTTTTTTAAAGCCACCTCTTAACATTATGAAAAAACTAGCACTGTGAAAGCATTTAACCAGCAATTTCAAATAACAATCAAGGCCACAATCGGGATACAACTTATTTGTTAGATTGTGTATTAATTAATGCCATTAACTATCACTTAATTCCTAGAGCCATCTGCTCAGCCATGACTCTGGACAGCCTGATTGACTGATGAGGTGCCTTCAGGTTAATGCTAATTCCTGAGCAACTGTGCCACTTTGGATAGTGAGATGGGCAGGATATAAATTTGATAAAACTACAAAACTAGACATTTCCAGGATGATTGGTCCTCAGCCTGGCTCGTTATTAGGTCTCTCAGTGACACATTCATTATTGTTGTACTTAATCTGAGTCTATCCACCTTGTTTTCTTGACCATCCATTCTTCATCACTGGAGTCTTGAAGAAGATATTGGACAATCCCTTGTATGAAATGGTATTGGGTCTCCTGCTTGAGCAGTGGATTGGACCAGAAGACCTCCAAGATCCCTTCCAACTCTGTTATTCTCCAACACCAACGTTCAAAAGTATCAATACTTTTTCTATTTTTTGCTTCAAAGTCCAATTTTTATATCCAGAGATTGTTACAGGAAAAAACCTTGTGGACACAATACTAAGCTTTGTAGGTGCAATTACTTTATAGTATCTAAATACATTAAAGCCACTAATAAAAAATTATATCAGGGATATCATTATACTCTGTCTTATATTCAGGAATTCAAAGTGATATACATAGTGATTTTCATATTTTTCATTAAAACAAACCTGAGAAGTGCTTGGGCCGAGAAAGCATAACTGTTCGAAAATCACCCAGTGACCTTGCGTGACTGAAGATCTTACCTGGTGACACCTTAATCACTATATCAATTAGCTCTACACTGGTTGTAAAATAGGAATATAAAACCAATAGCCTTCCAGATATGTTAACCTATAAGTACCGGTAGTTCTTGACTTATGTCCCACAACTGAGCCCAAAATTTCTGTTGCTAAACAAGACAGTTGTTAAGTGGGTTTTGTCCCATTTTATGACCTTTATTACCAGTTATTAAGTGAATCATAATTGTCAAATTAGTAACATAGTTGTTAAGTGAATTTGGCTTCCCCATTGACTTTACTTGTCAGAAGGTTGCAAAAGATGATCACTCTGCGCTGCAATAATCATAAATGAGTCAGTTGCCAAGGGTCTGAACTTTAATCACGTGATGGGATGTTGCAAAGGTCGTAAGTGTGAAAAACAGTCATAAGTCACTTTTTCAGTACTGTTGTAATTTAAAACAGTCATAAGTGAATGGTTGTAAGTCAAGGACTATCTGTATACACATTTGTTTTCAGTACCAGAGTTGGATGGAACCAATAGCCTTTCTGGATAAAATGAACTAACATAATTCCAAGCATTTTTCATTTTGCTCTTTTAATTTAGAAAAAAAGAATATTTTTGTTGTAAATTTTAAATAATTGGAACTCAGAAATCTTGCCCTATATGCTGCAAATCATCCTAAAGTCTAACAGTAAATTAGGATATTTTTTGTGTCCAGGCTTAATCTAACATTTATAGCAGTGGTTCTCAACCTTTCTAATGCCGCGACCCCATAATACAGTTCCCCATGTTGTGGTGACCCCCAACCACTTATACATCACTGGGTCCCAGGGGCGTGGCCAAAGAAAAGGGGGAAAAAATGGTGGACAGCCTTGTTTAGTGACCCCCGTGAAATGGTTGTTCGACCCCAAATGAGTCAGTTGCCAAATGTCTGAATTTTAATCACGTGATGGGATGTTGCAAAGGTCGTAAGTGTGAAAAACAGTCATAAGTCAGGTTGAGAACCACTGATCTATAGGGTGGTCATCCATTCGGAGAAACTGATGATGACCCTTTCAATTTAGATTTTGATATAAGGCAATATTGGATGAAGGTTGAGATATACAGGTAAGAAAGACAGAAGCTGAAGGGATATACAGTGATAATGATGGATGTAAAAATTAATTTCAACATTGTAATTCTTTTTGGGCTATCAAATAAAATATTTATTAATCACCCTATAGTGAATCCTGGAGCTTTTTTATTACCTGAAAGATAATAATGGTATTCATAATTCTATATAAATGAACTTCCTTTGTTTAAATAATACTGAAATACTGATAAAAGGTTAGATGACAAGGTTGCTGATATTTTCTTAGTACCAGCAAACTAGATTAGTGATAACAAACATGTAATTAAAAAAAAATCAAACTATTCTGGAAATATAATGGCCATAGCTTTCCAATAGACCTTATCCAGATTATAAGCAAACCTTTTTTATGATTATTCTTTTAAAATGCCTAAAATCACAAAATGTATTATTTTCACTTTATGAAAATTGTTGCTAAAAGCAACCTATAAATGGGACAACAGTTTTATTTCCAGAGTCCTGAATTCAAATATGACAATAGGAGAAGCACATGAATCAACTAAGAGAGTTATAAAGATACTTTATCAAAATTTCTTCTTTCCACTCCAAGCATAATTGTGCAGTAATGGTGCAGAATATTGCAATACAAGAACCTATTATTTTCACAGTCTGATAACTTAGATGATTATGTATTTCTGCTTATCATTCTTCTGCATAGGAAAAGGTAATATATGTCCTAGAATAACTACAGCATATATAGGATCATTCATTGTTCAGGTAATTGTGTTTTCATAAGACGTTTCATTAAAAAAAATCTTTTAGCCTATTTTTCATTATGGCTTGGTTTTTATATCGTATTTCACTTATTTATCTAATTAACTCGCTTCTGATTTGCAGAATACATTGAATTATAAATTAAACAGGTTGGATTAGCCCAACATGATATGGCCCCAAAGACTCATCAAGGTTAGGATGTTGCTTAAATGCAGCTGCTACATTTTTAATAGAGCAGTGCAAGCATCTGGCGAGCCTAAGCCTGTGCAATTCATTAGTCTAATGAAGAGACAAGCAACCAGATCAATTTCAGATGTATCAAACTTCATTAAACAATCTTACCATCAGCAGCATAAGCTGGGACTGACAGGAACTGAAGTTCAAAATATTTGGAAGACCACCAAGTTACCTATGCTGCTATACTGATAGAAGGCAAAGTCTGCTTCAAACCAAGCTCAGCTCTAGATAACTAGATAGCTTTAGTGGACTGCAATTTTACCAATAAAGGAGAATATTTGTAGCTCAGGGTTGAAACAAGGATTCTGACATGGTTCAGAAAAGAAACAGCTTTTCAAAGAACTTTGAGGCTTATTTACCTTAAAGAATCCTTTTATTTCTGCATAGCTTCGGCACATAGAAAGTTAAGCCAAAAACTGAATCCTCCCTCCCCCAATCACCAGTAACAAAGCATAAGTCACTCCTTCATTTTACAGTCATCAATCACATTCTCCAATTAATGTGAAGGGTAAAGTGCCTCTCCCATTACAGCTGACCTTGGCAATGCTGTGCTGAGATATTGTTATGGTTAGCTAGCATATTTTCGCATCCACTAGGCTAGTATGTCTGCTTTAACTCTAGAAGTGATATGCAGGCTAAATAAAACATGTTTGCTTCTTCATATATATGGCAAGCAAGAACATCCGATGTTAACAGTCTTGACAGATTCCTTGATGCTCTCTGCGCTTGGTTGTATTCATGCAGACATTTAATTATTCAAACTAGCACTGATGTTATCTATTTTGGGTAATGAAACTTCCCCATTAACCAACCAAGCTCAGAAAGGATCAAGAACCACCACCCCCTGCAATTTTGTGGCAGCAATACGGAAGTGGGTTTCCATTGCCTTTTTTTTCTTTTACTTCCCTGTTGATTCCCATCCGAGTGCTGTGCTAACCAGGCTCAATCCACTCAGTTTCCCACTCCAGAAACTCACCTTGGTTCTGAGATGATGCAACATACAGAGGGATAATTAAGAATGAGTTGTTCAGAACATACGACTTTACGACTTTAAAAATACCTGCAGAAGAATACTCTTCTAATCAGATTCACAACTGTCTGGGTCTGCTTTTCACAAAGATATGACAAACATTAGGAACACATTTTGTGCATATAATTATGAGCATGAGAACAATACAATCTAAGACTAAGATGAAAGGATGTCTAAACTAACTCAGAGGAGGAAAAAAATACCATCCCAACAGCTTGCCCCACATAATTGGGGGGACCATTTTGGTAGTACCTATGCTTGAAAATTTGCTTGCTATTGCTTCTAATAAGTGGGGGGGGGGAGGAGGGGAGGTGGTGAAATTAGGACCAAGGAACTGAACTTTGCAGCTTTGAGAGGCTGAGATTTTTTTTAAAGAGATGTAAAGTGCAATACTGTAAATTCAAGTATGGATGGAAAACAGAAAAACTGCACTATTCTACCATATATTGTCTATCAGGTAAGCCTGGGAATTGACAACAAACAGAACACCAGTTAGAAGTTCTGAGACAAAGGCATGGCTGATGAATTTTCTATTTTTGGGACTTAATAAAAAACAAATCCACCACAAACTGGCGTATGGCTTACTCTACCATTTATTAATGATTTAATATGAACATTGACCTGACATAATTATCGTTAATTTATTTGCTTGCTGGGCTTTGGACCACATTCGCTGACAGCTCCGAATGTGGCAGCCCGCAAAGTCTTTTGGGGGGGGGGAGTATGGTAAAACTCTACAGATTCACTGATGACAGCTCCCATCATCCCCAGCCACCATACTCTACCTATAAAAAAAATATGGACGTCGCAGACCCACACGTCTGAAAGACATTGCTGGAAGAAAGTTGCGTATGCACAATTTCCATTCAGCCCCTTTGGAATAAATGCCTGGAGCAGAAAGAACTGCACTCTCCCACTTCCTGTTACAGACATAATAACAATTCCCTAACACAAGTAGCCAATTAGCTTGGGCCGGTGCCCGTTGCAACCAATCCATGCTCAGCAGGGGCGTGACAAATGGGTTGGGCGGGCAGAGCTGGCTTTTTAACTAAGCTGAGAAGGCGCGCGAAAAATTAAAGGCTTTGCCTCGCGCTTCGGGCTGTTGCGTGAGGGGCCGAGTAACTGTCCGAGCACGAGACACGCAGGGTGGAGAGGGTTGTCCCGCCCTTCCTGCTTCCGCGAAGGGCGTGGCCTGTTTGGGCAGTTGAAGGGGTGAGGAGGGGTCCAAAATGGAGGGCATAGGAGTACTAGGAAGTGGGAAGGGTGTAGAGTAAGAGGAAGGGGTTTGAGCCCCCTTGCAACTTCTCCATTGTCTTCTCTTGCCTCTTTTACCTTTGAGACAGATACACCATTTTTTCTGATTTTCTTTTCAGAAATAATAATTTTGCCAAAGCAGTTTTTGAGTTACAAAAACAACAACAACAACACCAGCAGTTCTATGATCTGTCCCATAGGAGAGTTGATAATTGCCCTGGAGGTTAGGGGAAAAGTCTAGCTGAGCAGTTTTCTGTGACTGGAGATAGGCTCATCCTAAAACCAGTTACAGTTTATTTGCAGGTAGGCTGACTTGCAATAATAATAATAGTAATAATAATAATAAAGTTGGAAGGGACCTTGGAGGTCATCAAGTCCAACCCCCTGCTCAAGCAGGTAACCCTATACCATTTCAGACAAATGGCTGTCCAGTCTCTTCTTAAAAACTTCCAGTGTTGGAGCATTCACCGCTTCTGGAGGCAGGTTGTTCCACTGATTAATTGGTCTCACTGTCAGGAAGTTTCTCCTTAGTTCTAGGTTGCTTCTCTCCTTGATTAGTTTCCATCCGTTGCTTCCTGTCCTGCCTTCATGCGGTTTGGAAAATAGCTTGACTGTAATCCAAAATGTAATCCATTTTGCAATTGTGTAGTGTCTAGTGTTGAAGATGCAGGATGCAAAAATATTACAAAGAGTTTTGTAGCACTCTAAAGCCAATTGGTTATGTGTGGAAATGGCCCAAGGCTCATATAGCTATTCTTCTGGAAGCTGTTCATAATTGGCCCAAAGAAACAAAGCTCTAAAAAATATAGTATAATTGGTATAGCCTCTCTAATTGGTTGGTTAAAAATCCTGAAAGTTCATCAGTAGAATTATTGTTTTATTGAGAATCTTTTTGGGCTGCTACCCAAAATTCTCTGAGCTTGGTTGTTTTCTTGCAGACATTTAGGTAACATCATCAGAGCCAGTCTAACATCTGCAAGAACTAACCTCAGAGAATACCAAGAATCCCTCATTTCAACGCTGTGCTACAAATATTCTCCTTTATTGGTACAGAATATGTCAGAGGTAGTTGAAAATGACTTTTTGATATGAATGCCAAGAGTGTGTATTCTGAACTTGGAAAAATACCAGCTGCCTTATGCAACTATTTATACTTAGGTTTCAACCCCAATGTTCACATCTGTTACTTTATGCGCTAATAATGATTTACCTTACAGTATAATATAAAAACTGATGAAATAATAAGAGTGCTTTGCATTTTGAAGGAACTGTTATTGTTAAATTTATGCACGCATAAATTGTTTTCATGGGGATGAGATGTTTTCACATCGTTAAATCTATCAGATTTGATTTATGAATAAAAACTAGCAAAGCAGAACTTTTAATGTTTAGTTAATTTATTTTGGTAGAAATCAGTCTTCCATAATTGTATCTTATAAACCTTGCCAAGAAAACTGCAGGGACTTATCCATGCAGTTTCTGAGAATTGGCCATTATTGAGCAGCAGAAGAAAAATGATATATGGCATGGGTGTCTAACCTTTTAGCTTGCCTGGACCGCATTGAGTGAAGAGGAATTGTCATGGGCTACATATAAAATATACGGTTAATGTATATAAATAACAAATCCTTTATTTTATATATATATTTATTATATCTTGTGGGGCTACATTACTAGCTGTCCAGGGCTGTATGCAGCCCGCAAGATGCAGGTTGGACACACCTGATATAGGGAATGCTAGAGACCAGGATATGGTGAGTTCTAGCTCTAGCCTTAGGGATAAAAGCTGGCTGGGTAACTAAGCCAATCACTAGGAGATGGTGAGTTCTAGTCCTGCTTTAGTCATGGAAGGCCTTGCGCTAGTCACTTTCTCTCAACCCAACCAGTGGTGGGATTCAAATATGTGAACAACTGGTTCTCTGTGTGGATGCCGCTTCTGGAAGTCCATTCTGGGCCTGGGCAACAAAAAATTAGTACTGGTTTTGCCGAAGTGATGCGAAGTGGCTAAATCCTGCCACAGGAAGGAAGGAAGGAAGGAGTGGTGGGATTCAAATATGTCAACAACTGGTTCTCTGTGTGGATGCCACTTCTGGAAATCCATTCTGGGCCTGGGGAACAAAAAATTAGCTACCGGTTCTTCCGAACTGGTGCGAACTGGCTGAATTCCACCACTGAACCCCACAACCTAACAGGATTGTTGTTGAGGAAAAAAATTGGAGGAGGGAGGAGTATTAGGTATTTTTTCTGCCTTGAGTTACAGTTTTTATGAAAAATAAAGACAAGTTAAAAATAAACCTGGTGAATGTTTTTCAGGGGAGAAAAACGAGAACTAGTATTTTAGAAGCTGTTGGTGTTTGTTCTTTGCTTCCACCTAGGAGCTACTTTCAGTATGAGTCTTTGTGACAGGGGAGAAGGAGGTGCACCATCTGGTTTGCCTTCATTCCACGAGCTGAAGGTACCCCTGTCAGAACAAAGCGCTGAACAAAAATCCACCAGGGTCAAACGCCGTCGAACGAGACGGGAACGCAACTACATCAAATTTGGCAGGAAGGCTACGGGCAAAATTCCAGAACAAAGGCCCAACTGCAGAGGCCTAAAGAAGATGCTGCCCCCTTTCTGGAGCTCTCAGCTTAGCAACTGTGCCAAATCGACCCCCATCAAAGGGACCCACCTTGCAAACTCCGTGATCATAACCCAGAACAGACTGACACAGCATCTGGGCATCTTTAACAGAGAGGTGAAATCGGCTGACATTGAGAGACTGTTGAGTCCCAGGGCTGAGCATGATACAATGGATGTAACTCCTATCCAGAAAGCCAGTGGAGGGCTGATGGGAGGAGAGATACAGTCCTGTAGCCCTCTTGATGCAAATCAGAAATCTGTCTCTGGAGAGCAAGGAGAATGCCTTTTAAAAGATTTAAGCACCGTGCACGAGGATTCTCATTTTACGGCAATGCCAGCTGCCCCTGCATCAGTCAGAGAACACCAGCCAGTAGCAGTGGTGCAGGAGGTGGTGGAGGCAGGCTACAAGCCTTCATTGGCATCTCCTGCTGCGACCTTTGATCAACAGGCTATAGAGGACGAAGCTTTCCAAAGCAACACAACAGTGGCTGTGAATGACAAGGAAAATGTCCCCCCACCTCCCGCAGAAGGAGCTGGGTTGACTCAACCTAAACATCCCGCGAAAGAACTTGCCCAGGACTTAGAAAAACTGTTGGACCTCAAGACAATATTCCCTGGGCGTGATTTAATCAGTGAAATGCGGCAGACCGTTATCAATGCCGTGCTGCAGCAAAACAAAAGCTTGCCAGATTTTTCTGCTTTGACGTTGCTCAGGAAGAAAGCAGGTAGTTGTAACACGGACGCCGGGGACATAGGTAAGAAACTATTGTGTGAATATAAACCCTGTTAAAGGTTTGATGCAAGCCAGGCAGACCCAGAGTTTGTTCTAAATACTGGAAACGAAAGACCTGCTTCAGCAAAAGCATCATTTTTGCCAACCTCCCTTGACGGTCTGTTTTTGGTTTCTGGTACGTTTTAAAAAGGAAGCAGTTGGGTAATTGTTTCACAAATGAAGTGAGTGATTTTAAAGCCTTCAGCACGAAACCCTAATTCGTTTCAATTTCCTGTAACTTTGACCCATCCTTCCTTCCCCTCCCCCCCCCACCACCCCAGATTTCTTACAGTAATAAATAATAATAATAATAATAATAATAATAATAATAATAATAATAATAATAATAATAACTGCTCTGGGACTTCAGAATTCAAACAGACAAGCACCTGCAACATAACACCCCAGACTTAACAATTGTCGATAAGAAAGACAAAAAAGTCTGGATAGTGGACGTGGCAGTGCCTGGAGATAGCAGAATAGAAGAGAAAGAACTGGAGAAGATAACAAAATACAAAGACCTACAAATAGAAATAGAAAGACTGTGGCAAAAGCAAGCAAGGGTAGTACCAATAGTCATAGGCTCCTTGGGTGCAATCCCAAAACAACTGGAGCACCACTTGAACACCATTGGCATTGACAAATTCGCTATTAGTCAATTGCAAAAGGCGGCCTTATTAGGAACTGCTTCCATCCTGCGACGATATCTGTAATACCATCAAACATCCACATCTGCCTATCCCAGGTCCTGGGTAAGGACTCGATAGGTAGACAAAATACCAAATCCAGTCTGAACATCTGGCTGACTGTGCGATGATCAATAATAATAATAATAATAATAATAATAATAATAATAATAATAATAAAGTTGGAAGGGACCTTGGAGGTCATCAAGTCCAATCCCTTGCTCAGGCAGGTAACCCTATACCATTTCGGACAAATGGCTGTCCAGTCTCTTCTTAAAAACTTCCAGTGTTGGAGCATTCACCACTTCTGGAGGCAGGTTGTTCCACTGGTTAATGGTTCTCACTGTCAGGAAGTTTCTCCTTAGTTCTAGGTTGCTTCTCTCCTTGGTTAGTTTCCATCTGTTGCTTCTTGTCCTGCCTTCAGGCGCCGTGGAAAATAGCTTGACTCCCACTTCTTTGTGGCAGCCCCTGAGATATTGGAACGCTGCTATCATGTCCCCCCTCGTCCTTCTCTTCAGTAAACTAGACATACCCAGTTCCAGCAGCCGTTCCTTATATGCTTTAGCCTCCAGTCCCCTAATCATCTTTGTTGCTCTTCTCCGTACTCTTTCTAGAATCTCAACTTCTTTTTTACATCGTGGTGATCAAAACTGGATGCAGTATTCCAAGCGTGGCCTTACCAAGGCATTGTAAAGTGGTATTAACATTTCACGTGATCTTGATTCTATCCCTCTGTTAATGCAGCGTATATATCCCAGCATCCAGTGTATATTCCAGCATCCAGAAGAACAGACATGCAGTAGCATCTCTGAGAACCACTTAAACCACATCTTTTCTTGGGATTTCACATGAACTGGAAAGGGGCAAAAACGCTTAGGAAAAGAGACAGCTGCTTTAAGATTGCCCAACTGCTGCTGTCTGCATGCCCCAAATCACATTTTGTCCTTTGAATACAGATCCCGGCACAGCTTTACTATCCACCAATCTTCGAATCGATAAAACACAATGCCAGCGTGTTCCCATTGCTGATCCCTATCCTGCTTTTATTGCCTCTGTTCCCCGTCAGCGTAGTCACCTGACTTCCCTTCAAGATAATGGATGACAAAGCCTTACAGATGTTGCACTTAGGATGGTGTTAGAATAAGGGAGAAATATTACTTTAATGTTCGTATAGCAAAGAACAATTTGAGCCTTTTCACTCAAGGGCTGGGGATAAAATGAAATGTCACAGGGACAAGAAAAAAAAAAATGTGACCAGGGCCTTTTTTTATTGTGGTATTTTCCAGTTAGTCAAGAAATCATTGGTCCCAGGAATTCTGAGCCCAGAGTTTCTGTCGTTAAATGAGACGGTTCTTAAGTGAGTTTTGCGCCATTTTAGGACCGTTCTTGCCTTAAGTGTATCACTGCAGTTCTTCAGTTAGTAACAAGGTTGTTAAGTGAATCTGGCTTTCCCGTTGAAGGTTGCAAAAGATTATGATGTGACCCCCCAGGACATTGCAGGCCGTCATAAATACGAGTTAGTTGTCAGACATCTGCATTTTGATCATACAATCATGGGGATGCTGCAGCAGTTATAAGTCTGAAGAATGATCACAAGTTGCTGTTTTCAGTGCTGTTATAATTTTGAATAATCACTAAACCAACTGTTATAAGTTGCCTACCTGTAGATAGTAAGGCTCGAATTTTAAAAAATGTTCTGAAGATCCCATCTTCCTATATGACTGCTGCAGCACATCAGAGTGATTGGTGGGCCTTTCACAAGAATTGTGAGGAAAGAGTTTTACCTGAGAATACTGATCTCCAGGGACAATAGTTAAACTCTCAACACCCCCTCCCTTTCCAAAATGTTTTGACTGACTGGCCAGTGAGGTAATAATAATAATAATAATAATAATAATAATAATAATAATAATAATAATAGTAATAATAATAAAGTTGGAAGGGACTTTGGAGGTCATCTAGTCCAACCCCCTGCTCAGGCAGGAAACCCTATACCATTTCAGACAAATGGCTGTCCAGTTTCTTCTTAAAAACTTCCAGTGTTGGCACGTTCACCACTTCTGGAGCCAGGTTGTTCCACTGGTTAATTGTTCTCACTGTCAGGAAGTTTCTCCTTAGTTCTAGGTTGCTTCTCTCCTTGATTAGTTTCCATCCGTTGCTTCTTGTCCTGCCTTCAGGCGCTTTGGAGAATAGCTTGATTCCCTCTTCTTTGGGGCAGCCCCTCAGATACTGGAACGCTGCTATCGTGTCCCCCCTCGTCCTTCTCTTCGTTAAACTAGACATACCTAATTCCAGCAACTGTTCCTTATATGTTTTAGCCTCCAGTCCCCTGATCATCTTTGTTGCTGTTCTCTGTATTCTTTCTAGAGTCTCAACATCTTTTTTACATCGTGGTGACCAAAACTGGATGCAGGATTCCAAGTGTGGCCTTACCAAGGCATTGTAAAGTGGTATTAATACTTCACGTGATCTTGATTCTATCCCTCTGTTAATGCAGCCCAGCACTGTGTTGGCTTTTTTGGCAGCTGCAGCACACTGCTGGCTCCTATTTAGGTGATTGTACACTAGGACTCCGAGATCCCTCTCACAGTTACTACTATTGAGCAAGGTACCCCCTATACTATACCTGTACATTTGGTTTTTCTTGCCTAAATGTAGAACCTTACTTTTTTCACCATTAAGAGGGGCCAGCGTTGAAGTGGAAGGGGGGGTTCCATCAGTGATAATGAGTGGGAGGGGAAGAAACATCAAGAATCTTTTTTTACTTTTTGCAACACTATTTCCTACGCTGTGGTGAATCTGTCGATAATAGTATACAATAGGTTAATCTTGACTTCGTTTACTCTGATTTGTGTTCGTAGATTTGCAATTCCTGATGGGATTCCTTGCGTTCGCTTACTGTGCCCTCTTTTAGATTTCAACAGCCCAGATAACAGAGGAGAGAAAAAGCTGCTTTTGGGACAGAAATCCAGCAGCTGCAACAGTAGGAACTCTGAGCAGACCGTCTCTCTGAAAACCCCAAAAGAGCATGAGCAAATTTTCCTCGCCTGTTTCTCTCACGGACCTACACATAGAGCTGTAAGAGTGGTAAGCACAGTAAACTCTAAGGCCATTTCCCCATTCTGGATTTTAATGTGCTATCTTATGTTTCTTACGTTGGCATAAAGGCTGTAACCCTGTAAAATTTCTAGTCTGAGCCCTGGTGGTACAGTGGCTAGGATGCAGTATTGTAGGCTCACTCTGCCCACTGCCAGGAGTTCGATCTTGACCGGCTCAGGCTTGACTCAGCCTCACCATCCTTCTGAGGTCGGTAAAATGAGGATCCAGATTGTTGGGGGCAAGATGCTGACACTGTAGACAGCTCAGAAAGTGCTAAAAAGCTCTACGGAGCAGTATATACAGTAAGTTTAAGTGCTATATTAATGGCATCTTTGCAATACTCATGGCAAACCCCAATGCCCAGATTGGCTGGTACCCTAGTGGTTGTAGGCATGCATATTGGGCTTCTCTGATTTTGCTGAAGGGCTCCCAGAATTCCAGTTAACGTGGCTAGACTCCTTACATATGGAAGGTAAAGGATGCTGGCTGGGGAATTCTGGGAATTGAAGTCCACAGATCTTCAACTTGCCCGGTTTAGAGGCCCTTGGAGATATCCCACTGCCTTCTGTTCACTTTTGACTACTCTCTAGTGATTGTTTCTCTGTACAGGCAGACGACAGACTAGCCCAAAGAGAAGATGTTGAATTGTTTGCTGAGCCAGAAGCACGTGACCAACGAAGCTTTTTTCTAAGGGCAGCTCAACCTTACTCTCTTCCGTCGACATCTTCCGAGCGTGTGAATTCAGCCAGAAGTTCCTTTGCTCTCCCAACTGCTCAGCACTGGGTGCAAAGCCTGGGGGAATCCAGAGGCAGGCAGGAGAGGTCTGAAGGCAAACAGAAAACGCCCTTGAAAAAAATGGCTATCTCTAAAAGGCATCACCAACTTCGTCAACCTCTGGCTGCTCGAGATTTCTTTGGATCAGCCGGCCTTAGCAAAAGCCCTGGCTGTTTCCTTTTGGCTGATCCACAGCCATATTCTTTGGCCTGTCAACCCAGACCAGACCAGTGGAACTTACAGGAGGCAGAGTCTCTTCCAGTGTACAACTTGCATCCTTCACAGGAGCTGCACAGTTCTCAACTGTTCGACTTAGGGCTCGCCGCTACGGAAAGGGCTGCCCCAGACTTCCAGACTTCTTTCGATGTCTTAAAAAGTATCTGGAGTCCTAAACTGCCCAGTAAGGAGGCCAAACTCCCAATCTCCGGAGCCCTGGCCTGTTCTTCCTTGGCTCACCTGCCGCTGTCTTCCAGAGAACTGCACTCCGAACAAGGGCAGCCCAAGGAATTTTTCCAGCTCGATGTCATCTCTCCACCGCCTCATTCTTTCTATAGGCAGTGCTTTCAGCAAGACGTCTCTGCACCGAGCAGACACCCTCAGCTAAAGAATGGGCTCTCTGTGCAAGGAAAACCTCGGCTCTATTACCAGAAGATATCTTCCCAGCAAGAAAGGGCCTCACACGACCACCAGCTCTGGGGGCTGGCAGAGGCCTCCGAAAAAAAGCAAGGTTCTAGAGGCAAAGGAGCTTCCAGACCTGGGAACCAGGTTTGTGGTCTGGGAAGGCTGCTTCATTTGGAAGACGCACAGCAGCTGCAGGTTTTTCAGCAACTGCCCATGTCTTGTTTCCCCCCTTCTGAAGCTTTAGAGAACGGGAATTCTCCTCTCTGCACCTTACAGGGCCATCTGTGGGGGCAACCCAGTCCTGAACCCTGGGCCTTCCCCAGGATGAAGTTGTACTGAAAACCTGTGCATCGTTAGAGACTTGGAAAAGAGACAGAAAATGGCTCAGTATGAATAGGAGAACCCAGACATATTAACTCAGAAGTAGCATTAGCCACCTTGGACCTGTAATTGCATCTCTCTCAATCATTTTGTTCTGTGATTTTTTTTTCCTTCAGTTTTTTTTTTTTAAAAAGCCCTTTTTGTTCAGGTCACTTACAGAATTATAGTCTCTTTTTCCCCCCCAGCTAAGCCGGCCCCATGAGGCAATTGCTTTACAAGGGGCGATGAAGGTTGGTTGTCTTCCATTGTGTATGATGAGGCACAAAATCCTATTACCAGCCTTCATTAAATTACATTCTAAGAAACACAATACTGTTCTTTTGCCGTTTTTGAAGGGAGGGAAACAATCCAGATGATTTTTATAGGGCAGAATAAATACCTACATCACCATATCACAAAGATACCTGATTTGGATTGTTGTTCTGAAGCTTCTGATGTATTTCATCTCTTTTGCAATTATGTGCCGTGCGGCGGTGTTGACTTTACTTCCACCAAGTTAGATCTGTAACACTGTTCATGATATGGTGGGAGGGGAGATTTCAGGTTGCGAGAAGTGACATAAAAACAGTTGGCATTTGCAGAATTAAGTACTTACTTCACTCTAAAGATGCAGGGGAACAAAATAGTTGAGAAATGATGGGGGAAGAAACTGCTGACCTAGCTAAATAGGAAGCTGCCTGCAAAGCTTTTATTTCATTATTTATGCAACCCTTTTTTTATAACCACCCAACTTTCATAGGGTGACTTACGACCACAATTGAACCCAAAATTTCTGTTGCTAAGTGAGGCAAGTTGTTAAGCGAATTTATGACCTTTCTTGGCACAGTTCTGAAGTGAATCACGGCAGTTGTTAAGTTAATAGCATGGTTGTTAAATGATTCCAGATTTCCCCACTGACTTTGCTTGTCAGAAAATCACAAATGAGCCTGGGACACTGGAACTATCAGTCAGTTGCCCAGGTTCTGAATTTTGATCACGTGACCCTTGGATGCTGCAAAAGTCCTAAGTGTGAAAAACAGTCATAAGTCACTTTGTTCACTTTGAACGGCCACTAAATGAACTGTTGTAAGTTGAGGACTACCCGTACTAGCAAAGAAATCTGATATTTTTCCTTTGTCTATTTTGTTTTCTTGAGTACTAGGATACAGTTCTTTTAAAGTTAGACACAACCACACTGAGGCCACTCATGCATCCACCTTAGAAGATTCTGCCTGGATGGCCTTGTTTCTCTTGCTTTTCCTGCTCAGTATGCAAGTATCGGTCTCTTAATTCATTGTTTTTTTTCCTCTGCTCCTTTATGCCAGGAGAATACTTGAACAGATTATTCCTCAGTTAATGATGCTAGATGGGTAAACATCCACAGCAATAAGTTTCGAGCAGAGTGGGAATTGCTGGAGAAAGAATCAGTGCAGAACCCCTGTCTAAATAAACAGAGGAAATTGCAATAATGAGCACATTGTACTACTGTACTAATTCACATTAGTGAAACCGATTTTATATGCTAAGGAATTTGGAAATAGACTACTCTGCCTTGGAGGTCACGGATGGTTAGAGATGATATGTCAGTTGCAAATGATTACACACATCTTCTGCAGATGAGTCCAAAAGAGAACGCAAATTTGTCTTGGATAGAAATTGTGGGGAGCCAGTACTGTAGAGATTTCCTTGCAAGGATCTCTGAATTGGCCTCCATTGCTAAAGGGTGCTGGGAGGAAATGATAAAAGGGTCCCATCAGGAAAAGAATAAGTTATTTCAGGCATCCTTAGTACAGCATAGTGGTAGTCCTTGACTTGTGACCACAACTGAAAACAGAATTTCGGTTGTTAAGCGAGGTGGATGTTATATAAGTCGCACCCAGTTTTGTAACCCATTTGCCACGGTTCTGAAGTGAATCATGCGAGTCCAGCTTCCCACATTGATTTTGCTTGCTAGAAGCGGGCTGGGAAGATTGCAAATAGCGGTCACGCGACCCGGAAAGCTGCAATTGTTGCAATGCATGCTGGTTGCCAAGCACCTAAATTTGAATCACATGACCCTGGGGATACTGGGTCAGTTGTAAGGGTGAGGATCAGTTGTGAGTAACTGTTTTCAGTGCCATTGTAACTTTGAATGGTCACTGAATGAATGGCTGTAAATCGAGAACTAAATGAAAGTTGACGAGCGTTGGTAGCCATTGCCATGAATTTACCTGGATGTGCAATTTTGCTCACAGAGATAATTCTAGTCCAGGGGTAGGCAACCTTGGCTCTTTTATGACTGGTGGACTTCAACTCCCAGAATTGCTGAGCCAGCATGGCTCAGCATGGAAACCTCTCCCTTTCCCCTCAGCATGGCTGGCTCAGGAATTCTGGGAGTTGAAGACCACCAGTCATAAAAGAACCAAGGTGGCCTACCCCTGTTCTAGTCCTTCTCACAAAAGTATGAAAATTAAATGGAATTATCCCATTTCCACTACTTTTAATTTTGTTGAAGTTGGCATACTGAATTGCTAAACCGCTAAAATCTTGTGTAGAAATTCTCCACATGGAAGCTTATATTAATAAAAATGATTGGACTATTTTAATTCGGTCCTTGTATAATAATAACAATCAAATTAAACTAGTCCAATCACTTCACATCCTAAACGTATAGTACTCCAAAAATTTTGTATCGTGATAGATTAGGCTTAAGTGGGGTTGAGATATTGTGTGAACCAAGATATTAAGCAGTATATGTGAAGACATGCTTTGCATGTCCATTTGCCCATATGCCCTTTTTTCTGCAGGAAATACACAACGAAAATGAATTTAAAATTTAAACTGCTAAGTGTGTACGAGAACATCAGAAACCTGAGGCAATAATGTTAAGGACATTGCAAAACAGTCAGCAAAAAAAAAAAAAATTCTTCTGATCCAACCAGCTTGAGTCTATCCAGGTGTTTTTATATATTTGCCACATATTCTAAACAAGACCATTAACACAGGAAGAGGAAGGAAAAAGTCTATGAAAAGAGGCCATCTTACAATGCTTCAATATTCTGCGTGTTCATATTGAATCACGGTTGCAGCGGGCTGGATTCCGACGTGTCTTCTTGATCATACCAGTCTGTCACATTCTCCTCTTTGTCCTCAGAATTGCCGGCCTTCAGAGCCGTCCTCAACTTAGCCCAGAACAGCCTCTGAGCCTCGGGGTCTGGGGACCATGCAATGTATGTCTTCTTCAGCATCACTTTCCGCATCCGATGGTAGACGGAAAGTTCTCTCTCGGGGATGGCTTCCAGGATAACGGGAATAAGCACGTCTTTCAGTTCATCAAAAAGCCGATAACTGGCGAGCTGAATCTCCATGGAGCACCATTCACTCTGCAGATACCTCTTGCTGATTATACAAATAGTATGCCGGCTATTGTGGATGCTGTCGACTATATTGTCTATTACGTATCTCCCGGGCTGAAAGTCTCGGTGATGGAGACAAAGCCGAAAAGTCGGGGCTCCTGCTTTCTCTAGACTGGGTACCAATTGTTCTAGCACCCAGCTCTCATCCGCCGAGTTGTAGGAGACAAAGGCGTCAAATTTGTAATGCTCGTCTTTGCCCCGCCTCCAGTAATCATTGACCCAAGCACGCAAGACGTAGATGTGGTATTTTAGGTGCCAGTAGCTGCGATGGTAAAGGAAAGGTAACAGCATAAAGAGCAGCAAAAACGGGAAGGTTGCAGAGAATAGGTACAGCCCTATATCTTGGAAACAAACATGGGTGTCAAAACTATAAACATAACTAGGCTGTTGCCCAGAATTGCAAGAATAATTGTAGAGGTAGACCACCTGCACCAAACTATTGCTTAGCCAATTCTGGAACCACACATTGTCACAGGTACAAGCCAAAGGGCACTTGCGTAGGTCAAGGTAGCTCAGCGACGGAAGCGCTTTCGCCACACTGCTGTTGAACGTCTGTAGCTCATTCTTGCCTAACAAAAGATAGCGCAGGTTGCTAAGGTTGCCAAAGACCTCTAGGGTCATCGTGCGAAGCCCGGCGTTCTCCAGATCGAGAGTTGTCAGGTTCTTAAGATTCTTGAAGATACCGGGGGGAAGGTCCCCCATGCCGTTGCTGGTATCGGCCAAGGTTAGGTATTCCAGCTGCCTTAAGTCATCAAAGACATCGGGTGCGATGGACAGAATTTTGTTCTCCGACAGGTAGAGGTTGCGCAAAGAGGTCAGGCCCTTGAGGAAGCCCGAGGGAATGACTTTCAAACCGTGGGGTCGCTGCAATTGAAGTTTGAGATCGTAGACCTTCTGCAGGTTCAAGAAGGGAGGTTGCTTGAGTTGATTCTTGCTGATAAAGCATATCTTATTCCCCATCAGATCTAGCACTTGGAGAGTCCTCTCGATTGGATGGAAAAAACTAGGACTGATGTACTGAAGGTTGTTGTTATCCAGGTAGAGCTTGGAAAGATTCCTCAGCCCTTCGAATGACACGTTGGACAGCCTATGAATATTGTTTCCCCCCAGATCCAAAATGTGGAGCTTCCCAAGGTTATTGAAGGTGCCAGGGAAGAGAACCGAAACATGGTTGTTCCTGAGATTGAGTATTTGGAGGTTGCTGAGGTCACTAAAGCTGTTGTTGTAGATATCAGTCAGAAGATTGTTATCCAAACGCAACTCTCTGAGTTGTTTCAAACCCTTCAAGGCTCTGGCATGCAGGAAAGCAATACTGTTGATATTCAAATGGAGGCTGATCAAATTAGGGGCGTAGTGGAAAGCCAAACTGCTGATCGAGAGGATGCGATTAAAACGGAAAGAAATGGTCGTCAGCGCTTCGAAGGGAGCTGTGCTAAAGCAACTTCTTAGCTGTTTCAACAGATTGTGCTCTACCAACAATGTGCTCAAATGGCTTTGTACTGTCGCATTCAACATTTGCCTCAAGCAGTCCACTGACCTGAGGCGATTCCTGGAAAGATCTAGAAGCCAGATGGGAGGACAAGCTAGAAAAGCTTGGCTACTCAAGTTCCTTATGTTGTTGCTCTGCAGCTGTAGGCTGAAGGGACGGCTGGATTTTCCAAGATGCTGGCACACCTTGGTCAGCTGTGAAACGTTATTTAAACGCAATCCAGAGTAATCGAGGCTGTGAGGCTTCAGTTTAGAAACATCCAAGAATTGTAGGACGTCGATATTGTTCCCCGCCAACTTCAATCTTTGGAGTCCCTGGAGGTTAACATTAGCAAAGGAAGAGGTCTCCGAGAACTTGTTGTAAGATAGGTCCAGCACCCTGACATTCCCCAGGAATCCTGGTCCTGGCCCATCCATCTTACGAAGAGAATTGTTGCAGAGCTTAAGGCTATACAAAGAAGGAGGAAATCCCAGTTCCGGCTGAAGAAAAGTCAGATTATTGTTGCAGAGGTTGAGGTATTTCAGCTGGTTTAGCTTCTGTATGCTCTGAATCACCACGTTAATGCTGCTCAAGCTGTTGAACTGCAGCTGCAAATCCAGAAGGCTTGGTAACGGACTAAAGGCATCCTGATGAAGCACACGCAAGTG